AATTATGACCTTGTGTTTACCTGGAGCTTACTTACAGTTTACACTGTGTTTGTTATCAAGTTGACAGGAACTGGGATGTGAGAGTAATGATGGGTGCCAACCTGATTGGCTTGAGAGCTGCCAGGACATTAGTAAAGCACACTCCGGAGCATCTTGGGGGATCCTGAAGGTGTGGCCTTGGCACTGATACCTGGTCTCTGGCCCCTTCTGCTTTCCAGCCACCATGAACTAATAAGCAGCCCTGCTCTACAGCACCCTCTTTCTGTGTTTCTACTTTGAAGCCAGCAAGCCCTGGACTAACCCTGCTGAAATCATGAGCCAGATTGCATCTCTCCTTTAAATTGTGGGTATCAGGTATTTTGCGCCAACAGTGGAAGAATCAGTACACTAATGTTGTCTGCTAAATACCCTCTCAGCAGTGTGTCTCCCTCACTCATTTAACATGTGGCATACACTGCCGTGACCTTTCCCAGTGGGACTTCTGTTCTTAGACAGGGTCTTATTAGGTGGTCTTGACCTCGCAGCTACTGTAGCCTAGGTTGACCTGAAACACTCAGCAATCCTCCTGCCTCAGCTTCCTGACAGCTGGATGACAAGTGCCACCATGCCCAGGAGGGTCTTCTAACTGCAGTCTCTCAGATTGTGACTGAAAATGTCTTTAGTTTACTTTTATTTTGAAAGTTTAATTAGAAATACAATTCTTAAGTTGAAACTCTTTGTTTTTGTGGTTCCTATGGCTGCCTGAGGGAACCTTTTCTTCTTTTTTTTTTTTTGTCTTTTTCCTTTTTATTGGTACCGGGGATCGAACTCACAACTGCCTACTTGCAAGGCAGGCGCTTATGCCGCTGAGCTAAATCTCCAGCCCCAAGGGAACCTTTTCTTGCAGACTGCTGTTTTTGTGTGAGGGTAACCTGTCTTGTCTTTGTGGTTGTTTTTAAGATTCTTCTTGCCTTTTTCATTTTGCAATATTTTTGATCTCTGACCTATTGCATTCCCTAAACGTGAAGATCCATTGTTATGCTTAGCCAGTATGACTTTAATATTGCCTTGTTTCTGTGCAGTTTTCCTCCTAGAACTTCTACCACATGGATACTAAATCTTCATTTACTCTGCCATGCCTTTTATTTTTCTACCACGTTTCCACTAATGGTAATTTCCCTAGCTTCATATTTGTATTTTATTCATTCTCTAATTTTTGTAACCACATAGTCTTGTCACTAAATAATTTTCATTTCTACAAGTTCAGTTTTCCAGAAGTTAGTTTCCTTCCTGAAGTTTTACTAACTTCAGGTACACATTTTATAGTGTCAGTTTGGTAGGTAAATTAGCTGAAGTCCTTGGGGGAGCTGAATCTTGCTGTGCAATGTGACCTTTTCCTTGAAGTGTTTCCTTGTGTGTGACTCTGAACTGTGAGCTCAACATGTTGGGCTTTTATATGTGGGTATCTGGTATGGCTGATTTAAAGGGCAACAATCTAGAAAGGAAACTCTCTTTGCCCAGGTCCCCCTGAATGTCACAAGACTCCAGGCTGCACATGCCATGTGAGCCTCAATCCCAGGTGGGGAGAGGGCGGGTCTGCGGTCATGAGCTCCCGGGAGTTACTTTTGTCCTCTGACCCACGTTCAAGCTGACACAGCACTGGGAGCAGACCGCCGCTCCCTCCTTCCCTCTTCACAGGCGAGTCTGATCTCAGCCCAGGATTTTCACCCCCCCTCGGGCCCAGGACATTACCTGTGGGCTCCTGAGCGACCTTTCCGACTCGAGCACCCTGCTCAGAGCAGCACCTGCACTTCCAGGCCGTCGCTGCACTCTCAGCTGGGCCGTGCATCTCAGAGTTTAGCCAGGACCCACAGGGCCCGCAGGGCACCTCTCAGGTTAGGTCGCCTTCTGCCATCTGGAGACGGAAGCCTAGAAAGACACTTTGCCTCCCTCATGTGTCAGTTCACGCACAAGTTCACCAAAACTGACTCAACTGTGACTGAGCTTCAACCTGTGCACCAGAAGGGTGGTTTTTCAGGTGACACTACTGTGCTAGGTGCCCTCGGCATAAGCTCCTGTGGCAGGGACTAGAGTTAACCCCTGGCCCTCGGTCCGCATGGAGCTGTCTGGGAGCCTTGAGGCCAGAGGTGCAGGAGAGGCGGTCGAGGGAGCGTGCCTTTGACCACGGCTGGTGGGACTGGGCGTTAACAGATCAGAAGTGAAGCTCAGCAAGGTTCAATAACCGCTCCGAGGTCATTGGCTTCACAGTGGGAACTGGCTATGAAAATCCGTTTTTTCCCTACAACAGGGGTCAGTAAAGTCACTCTGTGATGGCCGGAAAATGGATCTTTCAGACCCTGCAGGCTGTGAGGCTTGTTGTTCAGTTCTGTGGCAGTGTTAAAGGAGCCACTGGGAAGACAGCAAATGAGCACGGCTGTGTTCCCGTTACACCCTAAGGACACCAAAACTTGATTTAGTGTGATTTCCACATGGGACAAAATACATTTGGCATTTTTAATCATATAAAAATGTAAAATCTTGCCAGGCATGGTGGCTCAAGCCTGTAATCCCAGCACTTGGGAGGCTGAGGCTGGAGAATCGTTGCGAGCTCGAGACCAGCCTGGGCTACAAAGTGAGCTCAAGGCCAGCCTGACCTGCACAATGAGACCCTGTCTCAAAAAGACAAAAAAATTAAATAAATAAGTAAATATGAAAAATCCACAAAAACAAGCAGCAGGCTGGATCTGGCACCGGTTCGCTGACCCCTGCTCTACCCCACATGCTGGTCTTGCAGGTCAGGCTTCCTGTCCTGGCTCAGGAAAGACATGGATAAAAGAGAATGGCCAGCAGGGAGTCATGGTGCCTGCTTGCAATCCCTGCACTTAGGTGGCTGAGGCAGGAGGATCGCTCCAAGTTCGAGGTCAGCCTGGGCTACATGGTAAATGCAGGCCAGCCTAGACCCGTCTCCAACCTCACCCTCTCCAAAACCATCCCCAGAAAGAAAACAAAACTGGGGTTTTTTGAGCCATGCTGGTTAGAGGGGTTGGTGGTGGACCGTCCCTTCACGGCAAGCTACGGTGATACGTGCATATTTCCATGTCTTACTCCAACGTGAAGGGCCCTTTGTCACACCTTTGCCTCCAGTCACGGGACTGAGTTACCACTTAGTTTTAGGTGTCCTTTAGTGCCCACTAGTTGACCTGTGGCAGGCACTCAGTGAATGTCTATTGACTGACAGACCCCAGTGGGCCGCTGCCCTGTCCCCACCCAGGCCACGCTCACCATCAGCAGGCGCAGTGAGGAAGCAGCTCCAGTGCACCAAGAGCCAGCAGCAGGCAGGCCGTGTGTGACCTAAGGGTCAGCTGAGAGCTCCCGTGGCCCTGTCCATCTCCGTTCTCAGTCTGTGGCTGCAACCGGTGCTCGTGAATCTAAATCTGCCTCCCTTTCTCCCCTAGAATCACTTCGGTGACCTGGATGGAGGCCACTATACTGCTTCCTGTAGGAACTCGGTCACGCAGGCCTGGTACAGCTTTGATGACACTCGAGTCAGTGAGATTCCAGCTCCCTTGGTGCAAACCTCGATGGCCTACCTCCTGTTCTACAGCTGGCAGCCCTTCTCCAAAGCCACACAAAAATGCAGGAGCTAGGGAAGCGAAGGCTGCTTCCTGAAAATGTGGAACAAGTGATCAGGAAGTGCTGGTGAGGCTTTGCTTCTTCATTAAACTCTTACAACTCCCTCGCATCACTGTCCTTTCATTCTTTTCTGCAGCCTTTATGAGACACGGCTGCAGCAGCAAAGATGCAGGAAAATATAGAGCTCATGGGTGGAGGCCTCAGAACACCACAGATTCCACAGTGAATTCAAATTCCAAAATTTATAGTGTTTATTCTTGGGGATTTTTTTTTTTTTTTTGTATTTTTACCGGTACCAGGGATCGAACTTATGACCACATGCTTGCAAGGCAGGCGCGTATGCCACTGAGCTAAATCCCCAGCCTCCTTCTTAGGGATTTTTATCATAAACTTGTTTCAGTTATATAAACACTGAATGCATTTAAAAACTATTTTTGATACAGAATGTCACCATGAAGCTCAGGCCACCTCCAAACTCATGGTGATCCTCCTGCCTCAGCCTCTGGAGTGCTGTAATGAACTATCTTGTAGAGATACTTCTCAGAGCTGTACTCCATCACCACCTGGGCTGGGGCGCAGCTCAGTGGTAGAGCGCTTGCCTAGCATGCACAAAACTTGTGGATTTGATCCTCAGCACTGAAAAAAATTGTCTTTGTTCAGATGGCTCTGCGAGCTTTGGAACGTGACCCAGTCATTTAGCTAAGATCCCAATACCTTTCCAACCAGCTACAGAACACAAAAATGTGTCAGCTTTTCCATTCAACACCCAGGGTCTCGCCCTCTCCAGGGTACATTCACAGGCTGCATTCAGGCACTGGTGGGCTCTCTGCGGGGAGGGTTTCATGTGCAGGACCGAGCCCCTGAGGTCAGTGCCAGGTCCCACTCCCCTGCTATGCGGCCCTCGGTGCAGGTGGCTCACCACAGGCTCGCTCTGCAGGCGGCCTGACTCCTGGCCCTTGGATTGCAGCCCCTAAGAAGTCTACTCTGGGAAGTCTGGGATTGTTTTCTCTTAATTCCAGCGCCAAGGACCACAACTGCTGCACATAGTGCTGGCACCCACACAGCGCTGGCACCAAACGGAAGAAGAATGGAATAGCGATTTGGGAGGGTCAGGGAACTAAATTTACAGCCAGAGTGATGGGCTGCAGAGCAGGGGTGTGAGCACAGATAATTCGTGTGTGAACCAGTGATGTAAGATGTAAAACCTAGAAGGGAGACTTCAGTGTATCACATACATGCCCCAATTTCCTATAATGAGTGTGACAATTGTCAATGTCTAAAATATACTAATACACTTAATTAAAAAGTCTAAAATCTAAAACCGTCATAGGCTGTACTGGCCCATACTGGTTATATATCAATAAAGACACAAACTTACAGAGTTTAAATTATTTTTCTCATTAAGATTTTAATGTAGTAATGAGATTCTCATTTTTAAAAAATTAAAGAAAGTTTTTTTTTAGAATAAAGATTTAGTGCACAAATACAGCCCAAAGCCAACAGAAAAATAGCTTTGCCCTGTCGTTTCCCTAAGAAAGCACTGCAGTTACTCAGGATAGGCCAAAAAAACTAAAATGCAGTCCTCTGAGCTCTAAGCTTCACCAAGAGAACACGTTAAACTATGTACATCGATCTGATGTGCAAGTGTGCAATAAATATGTACACATACATTCCTACCTGCTTTCCATCATCTAGAGGATCAGAGATCAAGCCGGGGTCAGAAATGTGAAAAGGCCATAAGAGTGAAAAGGGAAATGAAGGTTACAGTGGTTCTTTGACCAGTAGTATAATAATGCTTTGCTAGTTGGTTACTTTAACTTTGGAGCAGACTAAAAAAGTTGTTTTGAAATAACTGGTACCTGGACGGGCTGCTTACTGCGATTCGTGCTAACACTGCCTGTCAGTTCTGGTAAGAGCGCCGGCCTGGACCATCAGAGTTAGTGCTAGGAACAGCTCCCCGGGCCTAGAACCCTCGCACGGCCGGCCGCCTGCTACCGCATAGGCATTTCAGAAGTTGTGCTGCTCAGCCTTTGAGAACCTAACTCGGCACCTGCGTCTCCTTATGTGGCTACATCGGCTATTCGTGGTCCCAGTGAAGTATAAAAGAGAATATATGCTGCTGACGACTTCACAGAAGAAACAGAGATATCAGAAACTTCATGATCATCAAACTTAAACCACCGCTGTCTTGCTGCGTTTTTACAGTAAGCAGTGTAGTGGCCTCCGTCCAGCCCGCCGTAGTGATTCTGTGCAAAACAAGACAGAACATCCATGAAAATAACCACTCAGCTCAGTTCAGGCTCACGATGCTCTCATTTTCCTGGCTAAAGGATCTCTTGAAACTCCTGTTGGATTAGTTTTTTTTGGGTAGAGTCTTTACTTCAAGGAGATACTTACTGAAACTGAAAACAAGTTGTATTTCTTCAAATTGTTCTTTGGACCAATAACATACTGTGACAAGTCAAGGTTTTCTAGTGGGAAGTCCACAGACGTCTGCAGTTTCTGCTTCCACCTGCCATCATAGGAAAAACTGCAGAACACAATAGTACAGGAATTATTCTCAGATAGCAGAATAAATCCCCACTCATCAACAGCTGGATTTCCAGCCATGACATTAAGTTCATTTTAAGTCAAAGATTCAGAATTTGAGTAGTGGAAGGACCTTTCCATTTTATGAATGAAGAAAGTGAGGTTTTAAGTATTAAGTGATAGTATTAACTATTAAGTGAGGTCAGTCAGCTGGTATGGCAGAGGTGGGTCCAAAAGAGGGTCCCCAACTCCTCCACAGGCTAGAACTATTAACAAGCCTTCTCCAGAGGTGAACACAGGTCTGCAATACAGACCACCACAAAAGCACTCAGAGAACTCACGGAGAGCCACTCCAAGTAGGTACTGCTGGGCAGGCCAGAGCCAGATACTGACCACAGGTGGCCTTGCGCTCAGCATGATGGCATCTACGTGCAGCACACTCTGCTTCCCAGATACTGACATGCTGGTGTAAGATGGTTATTTCTGGATTATTCTTCATGTTTGTGGTGACATGGATTGAACCAAAGACTTGCCGTGCTAACCAAGTACTCATCCACCGAGCCATGTATATGGCTCCTGAATCACTGTTTAAAAACTGCTTTGGGAACTCCTGGGGTAAGATGGTGGGACAGAAGTATCCTTTGTGTGAATCTCTAAGAAAAGTTAAAACGTAGAGATAAGAAACTACAAGGTGAGATCAAAATATACAGTGACTATTTAGAACCCTGTTACACAGTAAAAACCCAGCCATTCATCCCCTCAGAGCTCTCCCCACCCTGATCACATATACCCATTCCCATCACTCCCGGAAGCAGCCCCGAGCCCTCTTTCCTGCATGGCCCTGCAAGGTGGGGTACACATGCTGAGCGCTACTGCCCAGCACCATCCGCAGGAGAGGCAGCCGTGTCCAGACTCGGCGCTGTGCCCTCACCCACACCATTCGCCAGCTCAGGCACCATGCAACTCCCGGCTCTTCCCCAGAGCCAAAGTGACCGTGAAAGGGAGGCACTGAATCAACTTGGACATTAAGGCAGTCAGGACAGTGCAACTAAAGATCATAGGAAGGAGGACTCCAGAGCTGCATGAGAAAGTGGCAAGAACCACGGACACGTGTGTTCAAAGTAAGGGGCCAATGCCGAGGTGACCTGTGACGATGTGTCTTACTGTCATGAATTTAAAAATTACAACAGTATGTTTTCTTTTTTTTTTTTGGTCTTTTTTGTTTTTATCGGTACCAGGGATCGAACTCACAACTGCCTGCTTGCAAGGCAGGCGCTTATGCTGCTGAGCTAAATCCCCAGCCCCAACAGTATGTTTTTCAGTCTCACCTCACATATTGTGAAGAAAGAGAAAAGCTGTGGGGATCAAGAGGTGACAGGAAAGCTAGCAAGTGTAAGTGTGAAAGCATAAAGACAACAGAGAAAAGTACGAAGCAGTCCCCAGTGCCAACCCAGGGAGGCAGGAGACCACAGGTAAACAAGTGACCAGCAGTGCAGGGGAGGCAGAGGCCATAGTGACTACATGCTGCGGCTCCCATGGGTGTCTGCTGTGACAGGCAGAGGGCGCCGCCCTGCTGGCCGTGTGTCTGGGTGCCGTGGCCAACAGTCACAGGACACCCACACTTCACCCCTCCTAGCCTCGGGACACCAGATGCAGGGACTGGGTGGGAGGGCGGCTTCGGGCCCTTGGGGAGGTGTAAGCATGAGGGACCCGAGGCAGCGGAGGGCTCCAGGCGAGTGCCAGGGTCGAGCCCATGGGCTGACCACCTAGTTCCCTTGCCAGGGGCCACCGCTATCTGATAACCGATGTGTCTGGGCTGTGCTGCTGGGACCCCTGCCCGGCAGCGGGGCAGCTCCCCACTGCGCCAGCAGAGGCCACGGGGATGCACAGGGCCAAACCCGGACAGGCTCTGCCTCAGTGGACACCACAGACAGCAGGCCTCCCTGGCTGGGGGTGAAAGGGCTCAGCACCTGCGCGGTGCCGCACTTCAGCAGTGAGCACAGGAAGTACCGGAGGCTCCAGGTGTGGCTCCCAGAGCAAACAGCTGGGCACAGAGGATTTTCTTTCTAGTCCCTTTTCCTTTTTTCTTCTCTAAAACAAGCTAATTGTTTTTACTTTTGTGAACAAGGTATTGTATCTTTTTCTTCTCTTCCTTTTTAAAAAACGCTGGCTGCGCTTCCGCTGCCTCTCTTCCCACCCTACGCTTCAGTAAGGCTTTGACCTTGCAGTACTTTCTAGCCTTTCAGGTGCTCTTGGTGCTGCCCCTTCCCCTGTGACTGGTGGTACAGATTGTGCCTTTCACTGCGGGTCATACCTGCTGTGTCAGTGTTGCCATTACCGCAGATGTCTCTCCCTCCCTGAGTGTACTGAGGGTCAAGCCCTCAAAACGGAAGACCCTCAGGTCCGCTCCGACAGACACAAAAGCTCGGCACAAACACTGATGTAGAGAGACACAGCCTCATGACTCTTCCAAATGCCCAGTACCCCTCCATGACTGAAGGCAAAGAAGCGAAGTAGATGAAACCCTGACCAGAACTGAACAGCTTGGTGTTTCAAGTGATTAATGACTTCAGAGAGGATGCAAACACTCCACGAGTAACTTAAGGCAGACAGTGCAAGCTATGAAGCAGTACTCCGACAAAGAGAGGGATTCGAAGGAGACCCAAACAGAAATCCTGGAGTGAGTTTACCTCGGCTGAAAGCATCACCGGTACATTGGGTCAAGCACAATACAAAATTTCAAGCTTGAAAACAAGGGTGACAATTATCACTTAGCAATCAAGAGTGATAACAAAACATCCTAGAACTCAGGCACAGTTAAAAAGAGGAAACTTAAGAAATTTTGATGTAGAACAAAGTGCCACAGAAAAAATAAAGGGTAGAAAATATACTGACTACGTTTTATTCAGTGAAATCAGCAGAAATCTTACAAAATATAAGGACATCCAAGCAAAGGAGGCATAAGGAACCCAAACAGGCATGATAAACCTCCCCATGTCATGTTATAGTTAAAATGCCAAGAGAACAGAACGAGGAAAGAATACGGAAAGCTGCAAGAGAATAAGGCCAAGCCACCAATAAGACAAAGCTATCAGAATTACTCCTGATTTCTCTACGGAAACCCTACAATGGCCAGGGCAAAGAATATATATTTCAAGCCTTAAAAGAAAAAAATTGCCAACTTAGATTACTATAACCAGGAAAAGTATTCTTCACAACTGAAGGAAATTAAGATCTTCCACACTAAGTGTAACTAAAGAAATTCCTGACCATTAAGCTAGCACAGCAGAAAATAAAGAAACCTTATACACAGAAGAGGTAAAGTAGACAAGCAAATGAAAATTAAGAAAAAAACACTAGAAAAAATGACAGGAATTAGTGTACACCTTTCTATAACAACTGAATATAAATGGTATTCATTCTCCAATTAAAAGACACAGACTGGCTAACTGAATTTAAAACCAAGACCCAATCCTTTGCTGCCTGCACAGAACACACCATCAAAGACATACACAGACTAAAAGTGAAAGGATGCAAGTGATATTGAATGGGGTAGAAAGATAAATGAAACCTGAAAATTAGCAGGAATAGGTATACTCATATCCTACAAAGCAGACTTCAAGACAAAATTAGAAAAGACAAAGAAGGCCAATACACATTGGTAAGGGAACAATCCCCCAAGATGATACGACAGTTGTAAACATATGTGTGTTGAACACTGGTGCATCCAATTTCATAAAATAGCCCTTGAAACTCGGGATCCGACTATTAGTGGGTGACATCATTATCTCAATATCCATTCTTATTCTTTGTCTGAATAGGTCATCTAGACCAAGAACAAAAAAAGTTAAATTACACCATACATCAATCAATGGAACACTGCATCCAACAACTACAGAATATACATATTTTTCAGCAGCTCATGAAATATTATACAAAATACTTAATAAAAAAGTTTCTTACAACATTATCAAATCAAGAGATGAAATATGTAATCAGCAATAAATGAAACTATACAAGCACATGGAGACTGAACAGTTCACTGGGGTCACTAAATCACAAGAAAAATTTAAAAAGTCATTCGAGTGAAAATGGAACACAGCATATTAGAATCTCGAGGGAAGTTTATGGCTGTGTGTGCCTACCTCAAATAACCAGTGATACTTCTCAAGGTCTTCGAAAAGCAAGAACAAACCAAATTGACCCAATAGAATAAAGAGCAGAGTTACTGAAATAGAGACTAAATGAACAATAGATAGAATCAGTGACACAGAGACTTGATTCTGTGAAAACATAAATAAGGTTGATAAATCCTCATCCAGACTAAAAGATGACACAAACTAATACAACTGGGGGTGAGAAAGGAGGCTATTACAACAGACACCACTAAAATCCAGAGGATTATTTTCAAAAGAAAATTTATATTCCAGTAAATTGGAGAATGTATAAGAAACAGACAAACTTCTAGAGACACATGACCTACTAAATCTGAATCAAGAGGACGTAACCTAAATAGGTCAATAACAAGCAGTGAGACTAAAGCAGCAATAACAGATGTCCCAACAAAGAAAAGCCCAGGACCCTGTGGACTCAGTTACTGAACTTTAAAGAGGAGCTAACACCAATGTGCCTTGAACTATTCCACGAGACATAAAGAGGCCAAACTAATTCTATGGGACCAATATTGTCCCGGTACCAAAGCCAAGTAAGAACATAACAAAAAAGGAAAATTACCAACCAACATTGCTGATGAATGTACATACACACACACACTGGATTTAGTAAGACATTAAAAAGATCATACATTTATACCAAGTTGATTTTATCCCAGGGATGCAAAGAGTATTCAAAATATAAAAATAAATAAGAGTAATATATCCTATATACGGAATCAAGGATAAAACTATATAATCATCTCAATCACACTGAGAAAGCCTCTGACAGAATTAAACATCCCTTCATGGTAACAGTGCTAAAGAAATTATGTAATGAAGGATACTTCAGCACAGTAAAGGCAATACATGACAAACGCAGTTGAACATCATAATGGATGGAGAAAAATTGAAAGATTTTCTCTAAGATCAGGAAAAAGAGGAGGATGTCCATTCTTACCACTCCAATTCAACACAGAACTGGAATTTTAACCAGAGCAATTAGGTAGAAGAAAGAAATAGATACAAAGAGAAAAGGAAAAGAAAGAGATACAAATAAGAAAGAAGTAAAATTACCTTTTTTTAGAGAACCCTAAAGACTCCATCAGAAGACTTTTAGATCTGACAAACAAATTTAGTAAAGAAGCAGCATACAAGTCAACATTTTTAAAAATGAGAATTAGGATAGAAACACTAGAAAAACAAAACTACAGGGGAATTAACACATTCCTTTCTATAAGTTACCTATTATATATCAATAATGAACAAGCTGAAAAACCAGTAACAGTATTAATCAGTAATAATAGCTTTACCTATCCCCTAAAAACAAATACCCACAAAAAACTCCTAGGAATCCAACTAACAAAAGAGGTGAAGTATGTCTATAATGAAAATGACACTAAAGAAAGATGACACTAAAAAATGTAAAGATGTCCCAAGTTCATGGACTGGCAGAATACTGTTAAAATGGCCACATTACCAAAAGTGACCTAGAGAGTCAGTGCAATCCTCCATCAAAGTCCCAGTGACATTCAATGAGTTGTAAAAACAACCCTGAAACTCATACAGAAACAGCAACCCAGAACAGCTAAAGCAGTCCTTAACAAAAGGAGTAAGTCTGGAGGCATCACAACTCAATTAAGTCACATCAAATTAAAAAGCTTCCGCACACCAAAGGAAACAGTCAAGAATGAAGACAGCAGCTACACAATAGCTCTCTGCCAGCTACTCTTAGGACAGAGGAGTAACGTAACCCATAAAAATTACACATAAAAAAGAAGAAAAAGCTCAATCAAGAAATGGACAAATTGAATTGCCACATCTCAAAACAACTGAAAATGGCCAATACATTTATTAAAAAATGTTCAACATCTTTATCAGGGAAATGCAAGTTAAAACCACTGAGATTCTACCTTACCCCAGTCAGCATGGCTATCAAGACCACAAAAACCAGTAAATGCTGGCAAGGATGCAGGGTAAAATAACCCTTCCACACTGTTGGTGAGAATGGAAACTAGTACAGTTTCTACAGCAATCAGTATCAGGGGTCCTCAGAAACCTAGGAATAGAACTACCATATGACCTTGCTCTACCATTTCTCAGCATTAACCCAAAGGAATGAGCATGTAACCCACACCTTAACTGCAGCATGGCTGACAACAGTCAAAATCCAGACTCACCTAGGTGACCACCAATGAGGGGAGGGTAAAAGTGGAGATTTACACACAATGGATTACTTGGCTATAAAGAAGAATGAAATTATGTCAGCTGCAGGAAAATAGAAGGGACCAGAAATCATCATGTTAAACAAAATAGGGCAGACCTAGAAAGGCAAGTACTACATATTTCCCCTAATACACACAGTGTTAAAAAGAGATGAAAGTTTGAGAAAACTATTATTAGACATTAGTAAGGAAAAGGAAGTGTAAAGGAGGGCACTGTGGGATGGATATGATCAATTATGTTATACGTATGTGTGAAAACACCTAATTGAAAACTAATTTTATTAAATATGCACCAATAAAATACATTAAAAACAGTGCTGAACCAAATACATTTTGAATATCCTCTAACAACAATAAAACTTTTAATAGATCCATAGCCAACAGTTAGCATGTTCGTAATTCTCCAGTCCTCAAGACAGAAGAAAAACTGGTGGAAAAAGCTTGTTTTTGTTTTTGGTACTCGTGATCACGACCACGCGTGCTTGCAGGGCAGGCGTTTATGCTGCTGAGCTAAATCCCCGGCCCCCAGAAAAAGCTTTTGTTAGATCTTTCAAAAAGAAATCTGAACATATCCATGTTGAAATTAACACAAACAACTGCCTAAATATCTAAATCAAATAGAAATGTTTTCTTTGAAGCAAAAACTTGAGTACTGCTTTCTTTGAGCACTGCTCAATAAAAAGAAATTCCCTTTGTAAAGATCGGTCAAACTGCCTCAGAGTTCCCACTCACTCCACAGAGGGATTCCAGAAAGACAAAGAATGACAGCAAAAGATCTTGCCTGTGTTTTATAACTTTCACACTATCCTACTATTATAGGACTAGATTTTTTTTTTTTTTTCTGGTTAGAAAAATCTGAGCAAAGGAGCCAGCTGGAGCCAGCTGGAGCACTGATTGGGGTAGGGGACAGGGAAGGAACCTAAGCCCCTACCCATGAGCCAGCGCCTGTGCCTAGGCTGACAACAGGTGCAACCCTTCCCACCCCCCAGCAATTCAGATTCCGAGGAACTGTATTGTCTGATTAACTTTGCAAGCCTAAACTCTAGCAACTATTCAGAGGACAACAATATGGAAAATAGAAACTATTGTAGATTTCCTAGAGTCTTATCACTGTTTCATTTCATTGCTGTTTTGTTTTGTAGTACTAGGTATCAAACACAAGACCTTGTGCTCTGCCACATAGGCGCTGTGCTGCTGAGCTATATTCCTACATCCTGCTCTTTTTTAAAATTAAAAAAATAAATCTGAGCAAAAACCATCTGCATTTAACACTGGGACCATTAACTTTTTTTTTTTTTTTTTTTTTTTTAGTACCAGGGATTGAACTTACAACCTCTCGTTTACCAAGCAGGCACTTACACTGCTGAGCTAAGCCCCTGGCCCCCATTAACATATTTACCTTTAAAACTACAATTAAAAACTCAGTATTTCATTTTTAACACTTCTTAATCTGCTTTGCTATGCTTAATGTTTGCATGTTAAATTTTAGCTGCTACTTTACTTTGTGTTAGAATTATACTGTATAATTATACAGTTCCATCTGATGTAATGATTGAAAGTTAAAACCTGAGATGCAGTCATTAGGCAGTGAATCCCACACACAACCATGACATGGGTGCTGTCACCCTGGGTCATTTCTGCATCACATTCCTAGGGCTCCCTAAGCAAATATGCTAATAACCTGTGTCATATTTCCTCAGCAAGCAGTGCAGGAAATGTGATTTACACAGGACTCAGAATTCATCATCAAAATCTTACAGAACAGGAAAAAAATTTGCTTGGTTACCGTTTCAGATGCACTAAAAGCACAGGTGGCAACTTCCAGATTTCTATCTTTTTGAGAGAATCCCGCCGAGCTCTGCAATGACTGCAGTAAAATCTGTTGTTATCTGTGAGTTTTTCTTCTTTGGAAAATAATCTAAGGCAATCCTGGTGGAAAACGTAAGTAGCAGACACTCAATAATTGACTTCACACAGTATCACAGAGCATCTCTTCAGTGCGCTGCCCTGCAGGGTAAGTTCACATGAGAGTCCAGATCCACAAGAAACTCAGCCCGGTGCAGGGCGGGTGTTCTGTACCAGAACCAGGCAGGACTCCTGCACTGTGCCCAGCAGGCCTGGGATGGAGGCGCTGTAGGAAGCAGGACTAAGTGTACCAAGGCACAGGGAGCTGTGTGCAAATGGAGGTACCGACTCGATCTGCTCACTGCAAACATGTTCTGTACAAAGGAGCCTACGCCAAAATCAACACAGAACCTTGCAAGTTAACTTTTACAACTTCTTAAGACTGCAGGCATTAGCCAGGCATGGTAGCTCATGCCTGTAATCCCAGCACTCAGGAGGCTGAGGCAGGAGGATCATTGTGAGTTCAAGACCAGCCTGGGCTACAAAGTGAGCTCAAGGCCAATCTGAACTGCATAGCGAGACCCTGTCTCAAAAAAGACCAAAAAAAAAAGACTGCAGGTGTTTATGGGATGGGGGTGCAGCTCAGTGGCAGACTCCTTGCCTTACACGCACAGGGCTCTTGGGGCCAATCCTCTGCACTAAGAGATGGGAGGAGGCATAGGGAAGCAGGGAAACAGCAACTTTTAACGTATTATCAACTCTGAGAGAATATTCAATCAGAAGCAACTTCTAGGAAAGGAACATTTTTTTTTCTTTTTTCTTTTTTTTTTTTTGTCTTTTTCGTTTTTATCGGTACCAGGGATCGAACTCACGACTACCTGCTTGCAAGGCAGACGCTTATGCCACTGAGCTAAATCCCCAGCCCCGAAAGGAACATTTTTTAAAAGGAATCTATCAGGAGTGTATGGGCTAACACCTGGAAATGAGCTATCAGAGAAAGTACCTCTCTGTGTGCATCCAAACAGCATTTTACCCCACTAATCACCTCGCACTACTGAAACTCACCTGCAGTGTACATTTGCTGGTGGAGGCTAGTGGGAGAGACAGATACATGAAGGCCTCAAATGTCCTGGATTTCCTATGACACGTGAGGCATTGCACTGTAGATTTGAACTGACCCTGAAAAAGTGCAACGATAATGGATTCGTTGAGCTGTTTATGTTTCTGCCAAGCATGTTCTGCAGCTTTGAAGTCATCCAGATGATCGTTGTTTTCTTCTTTATGTCTCTTTCGGTTATCAGCCTGGAAATAAGATTATGTAAGCTCTGTGTTAATACATAAAAGTCAACATTTAAATACATAATTAAAAGATTCAAATACTTTCCAGACTTGAAAACGCCTGTAGTATTCATAAAAGAAATCTCATATTAAGTGCTACAAAAAAATCATTCTAGCCAAACACAAAAACACCACTTTATTAAATGGATGTAACTCGCTGAAATTTCTTTTTTCTTTCTTTCTTTCTTTTTTTTTTTTTTTGTCTTTTTCTTTTTTATCGGTACCGGGGATCGAACTCATGACCACCTGCTTGCAAGGCAGGTGCTTATGCCGCTGAGCTAAATCCCCAGCCCCAAAATTTCTTAATATATTCTTTAGGAAAGTCTAGTTTTGAAAAAAGAAGATGCCCTACATAGAGCTGAGAATTAGGGCAACAACTAGATAGTTGTAACTTCATTGCCCTTAGGCTCATGAATGAGATAAATACAGCTATGTCAACACATAGGTTTACAAATCCACACACAATTACAGAAAAGTGGTATCTGAAAAAAAGATGACCACATGGTCAAAAGCTAAAAGAAGCTGTCATATAAAAATTTACATAGAGACATGTCACTATAAAAACCATCATGAGAATCACCTGGTTACAATGGGTAATTCTTACTTTAGAAAGTAAGTATAAGAATATAGTACAGAATAATTACACAAACTATGTAATAAATACATAGGCAATAAATATATAATAAAGATTTAGGCTTTTTTTTTTGGTACCAGGGATCGAACTCACAACCGCCTGCTTGCAAGGCAGGTACTTTTGCTGCTGAGCTAAATACCCAGCCCCAAGATTTAGGCTATCTTTAATAGAACCACCACACTTATGATTTTATTTCATTGGTGGGTCACATATCACCAGTAACTATTTTAATATTTGCAGACCGCTCTAACCCTAACCTGGTAACTGTTAATAACTCAGATATGACTTTTCAAACACAGATTCAGCATCATTAATCTCCAAAGCCAAAATGCTCCAAAAGCAAAACAACCTGAGCACAAACATGCCGCTAACTACAGATGGAAAATTAAACACCACAAAACTGTTTCATGTAAAAACATTGTTTTAAAATATTATATAAACTAGGGGCTGGGGATTTAGCTCAGCGGCATAAGTACCTGCCTTGCAAGCAGGCAGTCATGAGTTCGATCCCCGGTACCGATAAAAATGAAAAAGACAAAAAAAAAAAAAAAAAAAAATTATATAAGCTAAATTCAGGCTATGTGTATAAAATACATATGAAACCTAAATGAATTCTATGTTTAGACTGGCATCCTGTGCCCAAGGCAGCTTATCACATGTACATAAATATTCCAACCCCCCAATCCAAAACCAAAACATGTCTGGAAGCACTTCACATACCTTACCATCAGACCTATCAGATAGATTTGCATTACAGTTTCACACTTTAGTACACTGTCACTGTATCTGAATAAACTAAACAATTGCTGAATACTCCCCAACTAGAATTTATACTAAGGAGCCTTGGAACCCTAGAAATACCAAGCCTCTTACTTTATTTAGATCTTCATGGAGACCGTCCATGAGGAAGAGCAGCAGTTCCTGTGAGTCCTGCTGGCTGTAGCCTGCGAACTGGTCATTGATCTTCCCGATGGTGATTTTAAAGTCTTTTGGGCTGATATACCTATACTGTCCTGTCCACAGTGCTTTCATGATTATACCAAACTCTTCTGCCACTTCTCCTTTATGCCCCAACAAATTTGATCTGTGCAAATAAAATTCAAGTCACCAAAACAGCAATAAAGGAAAATTTTGTAAAGTACATGGGTTCTTGATGTCAGCACGAAAGCATTCACTCACTACGGCCCTCCACGAAGAGACCTGCAGGTGTGTTACCAAATGCTCTATGGGATCTTACTCTGCTTATAGTCTTGCAGCTTGGTGCATCCTGGCTGCAATCACCATTCTGCAGTTTTATAATGGAGAGTTGCAGCCTTCTCATACTGCTCTTTTCTACCTGTTTTTCACACTTAGTTTTTCTCTACATTTTTCTTGTGAATAAACATCTTTTTTCCTAATTTGACATCTTCAGAGCTAAGTGGTAGGGGTTATGGTTTGAACATTCACCTCCAAAATTTAGGTGTTGACAGTATGACAATGTTCAGAGGTAGGACCTTCTCTAATTCCACTACTGGGGAGGCTGAGGCAGAAGGATTACAAGCTCAAGGTCAGTCTCCAAACAAAACTGAAACAGGTTGAGGACGTAGCTATGTGACAGAGCACTTGCTCAGCATATGCCAGGCACTGGGTTCAGTCCCCAGCACTGCCAAGAAATTACAAAACAGAGACAGGACCTCAAGAGCTGACTGGGTCCCAGGGCTGCTCCTTCAAGAATGAGCTGGGTGCACTTGGACAAGGGCATGACAAAGGAGCTTGGCTGCTCGAGCCCTTCCACCAATGACATTGTGAGGGGCCCTGACCATAAGGTGGCATCTAGGTTTTGGACTTCACAGCTTCCAGAACTACAAGAATAATTTTCTGTTCTTTATAAATGACCCAGTCTCAGGTACTTGGTTGAGCAGCACAAAATGGACTAAGACAGGAAGTATGGCTAGACTGTCCTTCCAACAGTGTACTGCAAAAGACAGGTGCTCACTCACCTGTTAATATCATCCTGGTAACAGTTCCTGTTGAAGTAATCAGCCAGATGTGGAGCGTTGCACAGGCACTGCAGGATCGAATTCATGTAGCACGTGTTCCCTAAGTTTCGAAGTCCAGTGAGGGCTGGTCCTGAGCCTCCAAAGACAGGATTGAGGTTGCGAATCTGAGAGGCAGAGAGCCTGGAGATCTCGGCTTTAGGGTAGCATGCTGGCCTACATGCAGAGAGACGATACGGTGAGAGGCAGACCCCTGCCTGAGACCTACACTGCACCACAGTAACCTCTGTGCTCAGTGCATCAGTGCCTGAGGTGCTGACCTGACAGGGTGTTTAGTAACCAGGTCAGGCCTGCTTGTGTGCTGGAATCCAGCTTCATAACCTCTAGGTGGGTCCGTGGGTCTAGAAGGGGCCTGAGAGACTCTCTGGTTTCTTATGAACTAAGAGCAGAGGATAGAGGCTCTTAACTTTCACCCGATCCTATGGAGGTTAGCAGTTTGAAATTGTCAAACTCAATCAGGGTGCCAAAGAATCACAATATCTACCACTGGAGAGCAGACATCAGAGAGTGTCTGGTGTTCTATGACCTAAGGTCTAGAGCCAGGCCAACCATGGACGGGTTACTGTAACGGTGAGGAAACCATGACTGGCCCATAAAGTCTAAGTGTGTTCAGTACTGACTTCTCTTTCTGTTTCTTTCTGTCCCTTTCTTCCTCCCTCCCAACAGAGGAGACTTACTCTTGGCCAAGAATTGTAACAAATATTTTCAATCTATGGCTGGCTGACTCCCTGGATGCCTGCTGTATTTCCACCTGACGAGAACTGTATGCAGACCTAAAAACCATTTCCTCACACTACCCATTATAAGCCAGGAGCATCAGACACAGAAAGGATGGAACCCAGGAAAACATCTGAGACGCTTCTGTAGAACTGTAAATAGCACTGCGCTCCACTGTGAACAGGGCGGGCATGCACAGAGGGAGGAGAGCAGAGTGAGCAGTGCACCACACTCCTGCGCCCCTCGCTGCCATGCCACAGGCCATTGGCCTTGCATCCGGAGCCCAGGGCTGCAGCAGGGCAAACCTGACCCCTCCCCAGAGGAGACCAAGAATCGCAGGAAGCCTGAGGAAAGCCTGCAGGCTGACTGTGGCACAGGCTATGAAGTGTACCAATGTGCTGACTGCTTTTTATCTTAATGCTCATGACAACACACACCTGAATATTAAGTGACCGCCTCGGAGAAAAACCAGGGATAACTTCATTTCCTTTTCCCCATGGAAAGTGACAGTAGCTAGAATGGCCATCCAAACCATTTCTGACTCTAACATTAGTACAGGATCTATATAGAGCAGAGGTACTGGGCCGGGGATACAGCTCAGTGGCACAGCGCCTGCCTGGCAATTGTGAGGTCCTGCGTTCAGTTCTCAGTACCCTCAAATGAGCAGTGGTATTAAAACACGGCACCTGCATGGTCCCGGCTCCTGAGTTAGGCAGACTTACTTATTCTCCCGGTTCACGGCGGGCGTCACTGCGGGCCTCCTCCGCTCCTCCTCCTGCACAGCCTGGGTGATGTCCGGGGAGGAGTAGGAGCGCTTCAGCTTAGATGGCTCCCTGTCCCGCTCAGCAGGAGCCTGGGGCTTGGCTTTGTGAGTCGGGGGGGTGGAAGGAGGAGCAGAGGAAGGAGCCATTTCTGGGGGGTACATGTGGACAGTATTGGTGGGCGAATGGTAGTAACGGAAGGTTCCGGTGATCGGGTCCAGAAACTTAGATGGAAACAAAAGTAAAAAACCATTATATACAAGCAACTAATTCCAAAGTACAAGTTGAAATAAAATTTATTTTTGGATTAAAAAGTAAAAAGCTACATTTATTTTTGGATTAAAAGTATGTGTTCTACCCCTTAGCTACACACACTGCCAGTGCCTAAAATAATTTCAATAAAATGGTGATACTCAGGTCTCTAATTAAACTTCCAAGGACATTTAGGTTTCAGAGTAATACATCATGATTATTAGCACTTGGTATTGGGGATTGAACTCAGAGCCTTCTCACTGAGCTACAAACCCACCCTCTTTTATTCTGAAACAGGGTCTCATTAAACTGCCCAGGGTAGCTTCAAACTTGCAGCCCTCCTGCCTCAGCCTCCAAAGCAGCTAAGATTCCAAGTGTGTTCCACCACATCTGGTATACACACTGTAATACTAAAGAATATGGCCAGAATGCTCAGGTCCTGCAGCCAGAACTCCTGGCGGGGTACTGAGAAATGCAATCCTGCAGGAGTCAGGAGAAAGAGCTATGTCCTCTCACACTGAAGGAAGAGAACTGCCTCTTCATAAAGGAAGACGTAAAATAAAATAAAGAGACTTTTTTCTAAAAGAACACAGTAACTGCGTTCCTTATTTTAGGGTCTCGCTGTGCCTCTTACCTTGGCCCAGCCGGAGGGCAGCCCCGGGACGATCCTTCCCATTTCTTCACTCCGCGCTCTTGTCAAAGGCTCCCGTTGGCCCTGTTGGGGGGTGGATTTTTAGTTAAAATGTGCCATTTATAAACTTAAGTTACTTGTGCCACAGAACCAAAGAACCTTGCCTTGAATGCCATATCACGTTTTAAAAACAGGTTCAAAGATGGAAAAAAATTCTGTTTTTCTCAAGGTCTAAATATTACTACATTAAGAGAAGAATGATGTGAAAATAAAAGGAAATATTAGATGAAAACAATATTCCAGGAGCTTCTAAAACCAAAGCTTTTTACAATAGCATCTGAAGGCCGTGTGACGGCCACAGCTGCTGCCTAGGATGTGAACGTGGTCACCTCCTGACAGTGGGCATCCAGCATCAACCCTACGCGTAGACTCGAGGTGATGCAACTTGTGTGCGGGGCTTTTACCCAGAGCACACACCCCTTCCCTTCTCTTCTTTTCTCTTCTAAGGTGACAGGTCCCCCCCCCCCGCACCCACCCCGCACCCGAGGCCACAGTTCAAGCAATGGGAATCTAGCCCTGCCAAGCTGCAGTCCCAAAGGCACCCGGGGGGCGTTTTTTAACTTTGGCTCTCTTGAGTCTCAGTCTGCAGTGACGGTAGGACGTGGGGATGAGACTGAGCGATGGCGGGGACAAGGCAGAGGGAGAAGCCTTCCATTGTGGTTCCTAAAGAGCTCAAAGTGGGATCCGGACAAGTAAGGAAGGCCACATAGTTACGTGTCACAGACTACACCAGGTCATTCCACTAGACTCAGTGTCGTCTACACTTAACTCATTCCCCGAAACTGATGAGGCATTAGGAGAGTAAATGCAGGCCACTGCACGGAGGCACCCACCTAACACCATAATAGGTACTTGCACTTCTTTAAATGAAAATTATTAATAGAAAAGGAAAAGGCTCACCCAATTTCTATTTTACATTATTCCTGTCTTAAATATAATTCCCTTGAACATAAATATGTAACAGTATTTGTGTGCTTAAAAAAAATCAGTCAAAGGCAAGTGGGACAAATGAACAGCTGTACACAAAAAGACATCCCCTCGTGACACCCAGCCTCTCCAGGCCATGTCCAGTGCTCCAGGCTTTCTAGGGCCTGCTGGGCCTCTTTGCATGCTGCATTCCTCCTACCACATGCACCTATGAAAATGCTGTGAGGGTTAGAAATTAGGCACAATAAGAGATCAGGCAACAGTAAAGAGAAAATGGAGCAATTATAGCAACAGACTATTGTAGAAGTTATTTAAAATGTATGAAGTGTTTATTTCTGTGAACTTCCGTTTAATACTCTCATGACATGGTTGAACCAGAGTAACTGAAACCAAGGGAAAGAGAAAGCACAAACAAGGGGAGACTAACATACATACAAAACTAAACCAAAACAGACATAGGACTAACTGTAAGAACACTAAGATTTTAAGAAGAAAACATTTTTCATTAGTCATGACTCTGAGTCATAAAAGTTCCTTAGGTAAATGCCAAAAGCATGAGTCAAATAAGAAAAACTGGCAGGCTGGACTTGCCCACAAAAACATTTGTGTTTGGAAAAACTCCATAAAGAATGAAGAGAGGGCCTGGCCTTGTTGCATACACCTGTCACATCCTTCTACTCTCCAAAAGCATCATTGTATTTCCTCTCTCTTCTGCTCCTCATATCATGTAGTTTGTTTCAAATGTTTTCTTTGTTCCCACCTCCTGTATCTAGTAGTTCCTTTGTTCCCACCTCCTGTATCTAGTAGTATAAAACTTTATTAATCTTTATACAGTTACTCTATAAAATTACTGAATGTCTTACCATTAGCAGAAACACAGCTGTTGTGATTAGTACATATTAACTGTAAGGCATTACCTGGTTGTCTTAATGTTCACATGGTCACTGTGGATTTCTTCTCTAGAGTTCAGGGTGATATGGAACTGGCCCTTACCGCACATTAATACCCAGTTTGTCTTGAACAGTATCACTGTGGTTGATCAGCATGGCATACTTGTTGCTACTAATCGGTTTTTTCCGTAAGGCACATCCAGATTACCTCTGAGACATTAACTATACTAGAGCACTCGCTGTTGGGCCAATTGCACTATAATCTCCCTTCCCAATTCAGCCAAGGCAGTCGGATCTTGGGGCTCAGTGCTGTACACCCACAGGACATCACTGAGAAGTCAGTAAGTAACTAGCAGTGTCTTTACAAGAGTAAAGCATAAACCTTAGTATGAAACAAACAAACACAAAACAGAAAAATGAGAAGACAAGGCAACAAAAGGCTTTCCACAACTCCAGACTTCCCCAGAAGCCATCCAGGAGACACAAAGAGAACAGCCAAAGTCACAGACTTGAGCTACTTAGGATCCTGGAGGTTAGGAAACACCAAAGATGTCCTGAGCAGGATCACAGATGATGTAAATAAGCACGTAATAGAAACAGAAACCAAAATAATCCAAGAGCTTTCAGAAGAACTAATAAAAAGCCAACTGACCTGAACAAAACTAAAAAAAAAAAAAAGAATGACCAGTTAGTTTTGCAAAGAATTAGTCAATGAAAAGGTTTCAATCAGAAATCCAGAAATTTAAAAATTATATTCAAAGTATAGACAGCTGAAGCTACCAATGTGAGTACAGAAGTTTAGAACTAGAAGACGATGCCTTCAAAAACCAACTAGTCAAAGATACTTTAAAAGTAACAAAAGAACATGAAAAATGGATCCAACGGCTGCTAGATGCTGCAGAGACTAATCTAAGAGTAATCACAGAAAAAAGACAATACAAATGGCATAAAAAAATCTGTGCACAGAAATAATGGCAGGAAATTCCCCAAATATAAAGAAATAAACAGAAAGATAAGTGAGACATGGAACTCAAAGGGCCATGACCAAAGAGAAGATCTCCATGAGATGTGACACTCAGCACCAGAAATCCATCGCAGGGACAGAATCATAAAAGCTGTGAGGAAAGGCAATGAATGATGTACACAGCGAACATTAAAATTACAGCAGACTTCTCTGTACAAACCCTAAAGGCCAGGAATGAAATGTTTCAAGCCCTGGAACATAACAACTTCTAACCCCAACTTAAATATCCTGTAAAACTTTCCTTCCAAGTTAAAGGAGAAATAAGGTATTTCTATGACAAAGAGCATCTTAAGAATCCCATGACCAAAAAACCACCACCACACAAAATTCACAAGTATACCCTAGAAAGGTACAAGCCAAAAATGCTAACAAGTCAAAAAGAATGAATGCACCTAGCACAGTAATACCAAGAAAAACTGGGGTCCGAGCAAATTAAAAAGATCCTGCACAGTAAAGGAACCACACAGTTAATCTGTGTTTATGATAATTTGATAAAGATTTATAAAACAAATTTAAATCTGATACTGATAGAAAATAAAACCTAAGAAGTGTACTCTAGCTCACTGTCAAATTCAAAACACATGCTTTTGAGCCCCTTTGGAATTCCCCCACTAAGGAGAAGGACCTGGGAGGTCTTGGTGAGTCAATGAAAAAGTGATGAAAGGCAGGGCAGACTGCAAATCCCGGTTTACAGAGGCGGCCAAGGGTAAAATGCCAATAATCAGCGCTTACTGCCTGCAGCTTCACTGCGTACTCTTCTTCTATTTCCATCTCAGATGGTTTTGATGACCTTGAGAGGGACTGTGCTCCAGAAAATTTCAAGTATTAAACAGAATATAAAATTTCATATAGATCTAATTTCAGAAACGCAAAATCCATCTTTGTATCTTCTTATACATTACAGGATCTTTAAAATGATTCCCTTTATCTTGTTTTTAAATTGATCATGATAAAGGCTTTATTAGCAATACTTTGAACAAATTTATTCTAGAGTAAATTACAGACTGCTTCTACTTTTTAAAGGGAACATACATGTCTAGCCATATAAATTTTTTCAGTGTGTTACAGGGAAAGTCCAAAGCTAGGTCATAATTAAGGATTATTTAGATTTATAGGGATATTTGACACCCAAACATGCATGCTTTAAGTTCTAAACACTGCTTGTCAGTAACAAAGCAAAATGAAACTGGTTGGCTTTGGAATCTCACTGTTCATGAGGTTTTAGGCAAATACTCAATGTCTAAGTGCCAGATTCACTTGTAAATTAAAGACCCAGTGGGGTGTTTGGAAGATTTCCTCACGGCAGCTCTATTTTTTAGACTAAAGGTTACAAGAAACCTGTTCCCTGGGTAAGGTTGGCACTGGGATGGGTTGTTAATTCTGGTAACTGCCTAACCTGCTGCTAGAGAGATGCAGACACTGAAATTCTGTAAGATGGCATTCTGCCTCCTGTCAGAGGTCATTTTCATGCTACTAAAAAATGTTTCCCCATTTACATGTCCATAAAGGGGATCTTAACTGTTCCTGCTATTAAAAAGTAGTATGTAAAAGTCACTACTAATTGCATAGTGAATAAAGAAGAGAAGTGTATCATTAAAGAATAGTAACAGCAAAAACGTCCTCTAAAATTATGGGACTCCATTTTGGGTGTGTACCCAAAAGCAGAAAAAGGCAACATTAAGTGGGTTCTTGCCAATATTACTTGGGTAGATAAAGCTAGAAACAAAACACCACAGCCCTGATCCAAAATATGATCACATGTACAGATAAACGTGGGCTTCCCTGGGACTGGGGACAGCTGAGGGCTGCTTCCCCTGAACTACATGCACAGCGCTTGTTATTTTCTTATCTCAGTCAGGCTCGCACCAAGTCACCCAGGCTGGGCTCCACCCTGTGATGCCCCTGCCCAGGCTCACACTGCTGCACCCAGAGGTGGGCCATCTTGATGTTAGCTTGCACTATCTGATTTCACATGTGTTCTTACCAGCTACAGACTTTATCGTACAAATACTGGCATCTAACTTCTCTGTGCTGAAAGGAAGATTATACTCTAGTCTTCTGATGATCATACATCAAACACAGAAATGAAGACTGCAGCTACTTATTCAGTTATTAAGCATGCACTGCATTTTTCTGCACAAATTCCACCACCAACTAATCATTAATACATTACTGGCCACTCTGAGGCTCTCAATTCAATGCCCAGTACTGCCCAAAAAAGCAAGGAAAGCAGGTGAGCAAACACAAACAGAGCCAGACAATGGACTGCCCCAGGGAAATCCATTCACAGACTGGGTGTCTGTCTGGGAGGCCCTGGCCTAGCGTCTCCGTCTCCGTCTCCGTCTCCGCGCTCACCTTGCCCGCACTCACATCTCCCGGCACAGGTGCAGGGGCGTCTCCCACTGGCTTTCTCTGCACTTCCGGAGTTGGACACCTTTTCCCCCTGTCATCCACAGACTTCTTGGCATCGGAAGTCTCGTGTTCACTTTTACTCTGTCTTTTCAATCCTGTTGTTTCTTTGCCCCTCTTTGCTGAGGGTTCTTTGTCTTCCTTCTTGGCTTGTTCAACTTCTCTCTTCTCCACTGCTTCTTTTGCTGGGATTTCATTTTCTTCGGCTTCTTGTTTTTTCCTGGCTCTCTGTTCTTGTTCTTCCCTCCTTAGCTTCTCTTTCTGTTCCTCCTGCTGTCTCTCCCGAAGTTCTTTTTCCTGCTTGCTTTTCTCCATGAGCAGAGCAGCTTCTGCATGAATCCGTGCTTTCTCTTCATCTGTCAACACGGCAGCTGCCGGGGGAAACGCCGGCTTGGTGGAGCGGTCAGGGGTGGCTCTTCCACTCTGAGGAGGCTGCTGCTCGTGGTCTGCACTCTCAGGTTTTACTCTGTGATCTTCAGGAAGTCTGACTGCTGGTTTTTTAGTGCGATCAATCTAGAGAAACAAAAACAGCAAATGTATAACCTCAGTTAACTTAGTTAACCAAAACCAAGCTGTGATAAAAGAACTGTCTCAGGGCTGGGGATTTAGCTCAGCGGCATAAGCGTCTGCCTTGAAAGCAGGCAGTCGTGAGTTCGATCCCTGGTAGCGATAAAAAACGAAAAAGGCCCCACCACCACCAAAAAAAGAACTGTCTCCCCACAGAGACAGCATCAGTCTGAACATCCACCTGTCAACTACTCAATGCCAGCTTCCTTGTATGGTCAGACTTGAACGGAGACTAAGTTTGACATTTTCAGTTCACCCCAAAGGGCTCTAATATGGCATCGATTAAGGTGCTCATGCACACACACTTACCCACCTCCTACTTGCCAGTGCCATAATAACCACACACACATGCCCGAAACCCATACTAGCTGGCCAACACACTCTTCTTCTCTACTTCTGTATTGCTCCCACCAGACAAGGCCACCTGGAGATCTCTCACACCAGGAGCTGCCCACTACTCACCCATCTCATCTATTGCCCTTCTAATCTGGTTTCCATATTGTAGCCAGACTGAGTATTTCAAGATAAACTTGACCATGTTCTTCATATTTTAAATTGCTACCCACTGTATTTTGATGACATCTAAACCTTTACCATGGCCTGTAAGTCCCTGTACAGTCCTACATCTTATCTTTTTTTCTTTCTTCCTTCCTTCCTTTCTTCTGTCTTTTTGAGACAATGCAGTTCAGGCTGCCTTCCAACTTGCAGTGATTCTCCTGCCTCAGCCTCCCGAGTGCTAGTATTACAGGCGTGCACCACTACATCTGTAGTCTCCTACTATTCCAGACAACAGCTATGCTGGCCTTATAAAATATTCTTCAAAACTGTCAGGTTCCTTCCAACTCAGGTCTTTGTATCAGTTGTTCCACAGATAATGCCCACCCAAAGGAGGGTCACTGTGGGTTCCAGACCAGCCTGGGCTCTGTGATGAATTCAAAGCAAGTCTGAACTACTGCCTCAAAAAACATAGGTAAAACCCTCCTTTTTAGAACATAAGTTCTAAAAAGGTAGAGATGGAGCTGGGCACACAGTTTTGATAAATATGCTGTTGAAGGAATGCATATTCTAGTGCCAGGCATGATAGTGTATGCCTGTAATCCTAGCAAGCGGGGAGGCTGAAGCAGAAAAACTAAGTACACACCCAGCCTGGGCACTTAGTGAGACTGTCTCACGGTAAGAGAGCTGCGAACACAGCTGAGCAAACAGGTCCTATGTTCAGTCCCTAGTACTGGGCAAAAATCTGTAACAATTTTGAAGAGATAAGAGACTACACTAGGCATGATAGTGCATATCTGCAATTCTAGCACCCTCAGAAACCAGGGCCAAAGGAGCCTAAATTCAAGCCCAGCTTGCACAACTTAACTACTTAAAGAGTTGCCACCTCAAGACAAAAGGGATGGGGATGCAGTTCAGTGACAGACCACACCAGAGACAGACAGGGAGAGAAAGTTTCCTTCAGGCTGTCTTGATACCTAACCTCCTCATCAAATGAGTTACACATGCATCACTCCAGTTTAATAGCATCTTAGTTTACACATTGAGAGAGGTGACTGCAGAACAGCATAATGAAGCAAAAATGAGAGTTTACAGAAACAGCTGCCAGTAACAAACTACTTAGTGTTCTTATAAAATGACTTTGACATATTTTTACAGGAAAACCAAGTAGAAAATAGTGAGGGAAAAAAAAAAATCAGGGCTGGGGCTGAAGTTCAGTGGTGAAGTGCTTGCCTAGCATCACAAGGCCCCAAGGTCAATTTCTAGCACCTCTTCACTTCTTTCTGCCTGTTTTTTAAATAAACAAAAACAAAGCCTGTACTCCCTTCTGTAAGTATCTGAGAATGACCTAGGACCATCCACTCAAAACACAGGACCTGCATGCGTAAAGTTAATAAACAGCAACCAAAATAAATATTTCTTCTCATATTTGCTAGCTTAATTGATTATCCTTTCCCCATTCTCCGTCTCTCCTTTCTTTTTGGTACTGGGAACTGAACCCAGGGCCTTTTCACAAAGATGCATCCCCTGCTCTTTTATTTTTTGAGACTGTTTTATTCTACAGTGCTCAAGTGGGTTCACCTTGTGATCCTTCTGCCTTGCTTTCCATGACTGTAGGGCTTACAGGCGTGCGCCGCCTGGCCTGGCTCTTCCCTGATCTTACACGTGTTGCTATGGTCATGTTACTTTAGTAGTATGTGTTTGCTCTTCCTGGGGAGAGGGTGGATGTACATAACACATCCTCATTACTTTTATGTTCCCTTGGGAGGTCAGCGTGGTGCTGGGTGTGGAGCGTCCACCTGAGGATCGCTGCCAACAGCATAAAAAGGAGAACTGGAGGGGAAGATGTGCTGTTGATCCTCCTGCAGAAGCCTGTCACACTGGCTTTCCTGAATTCAGCTGTGCTTATTAGCAGAGGAGTTCCGGTCCTCGTCATCACTGAGGATGGCTGTGGTTCTTTTTGGGGAGCTCTGGTACTTACTTGGAGTGTCACTTCCTGGCTCTGGTGCACAAACCTCAACCTACTGGCACAGGTCCTCCATCCTGCTAACAGACTTTCTAGCTTCCAATGCTGACGTTTGGGCCTTCCAAGTGCAGATCCTTGACATAGACTTGCATGGGATCCAGGCCTTCAGCTGGATTCTTCAGGTCTCTAGTACACAGACAGATCTCCTGCACTCTTCTGCATCTGACTCTTCAGATGACTATTATAAAGTAATCCTGTAAATTATGTGTCCTGTATTAAATCTATTCCCCTATAAACTGACACCACTTTCCCATTTGCAAAAGTCTCATTTCCATTTCCTATTATCTACCCCTTAATTTGCTTTTCATTTACATTGTGGATTTCTCATGTAAGAGAAGCCATGTGATAATTACTTATGTGTCTAATATACAGCCTGCTTCCAAGAATTAGTTGTTATGGGTTGTGATGCTACAAACACGGGTATGTGGGTATCATTGCACTAAGATGTGCTGGTATAAGTATGGATAGGTATATTACTGTAGTAAGATGGCTTTAACTCTTTTGGGAAGATACTTGGGGGATCATTCGGTTGTGTCAAATCGAATTTCTAGTTGGTGTTTTCCAAGGCACGTCCATATGACTTGCACAGTGGCTGTACTAGTTTACACTCTCACCAACAGCATGTGGGGGTCCCCTACACCCATAGCTTCTCCGGTAATGTTTTCTTGATGACAGCCATTCTTTCTAGAGTAAGATGGAATCTCGGTGTTGTTTTAGCTTGCATATTTTTAATGGCCACAGACATATTTTTTCATGAATTTACTGGGCTATTCTGGTTGTCTATTTTTTGACTGGGCCTTTGTTTGGGGGCAGTCTAATTTTTTTGAGGTCTTTATTATAGGTGTTGGTCCTCCATCTGTGGAGTAGCTGGAAACTCCAACTCTGTGGATTCTCTCTTCACTGTGTCAGTTACTTGCTTTGCTCTGCAGACATAACAAAAGTGTTTCTAATTTGACAGAATCCTATTTGTTTGCTGATACTTAAAGTTATTTCTGGTGCAATAGGGTTCTGTTCAGAAAGTCCTCCTCCATGACTACGCCCTCAAGAGTTTTACCTATTTCCTCTTCAGGCAGATTGTTTCCATTTTAACACTTAGATCTTTGATGCATTTTCCATTTAGTGCATGGTGAGATATATGGGTTGAGATTGAACTTTCTGCATGTGGACAGTCAGCTTTGCCAGCGTCAGAGGCTCTCTCTCCTCCAGAGTATGTTTTTGGTCCATTTGTCAAAAGATCATGATGGCTCAATGTGTTTGGGGTTTTCTTCAGCCTCTATTCTGTTCCACTGATCCATGTCTGTTTTTGTATCGGTAGCATGCTGTTTTTATCCCAGTAGCTTCGCAGTGCAACCTGAAGTCTGGGGATGCAGTGTCTACTGATTTGCTCTTGGTTGCCCACAACTGCTTTTACTCTTCTAGCTCTCTTCTGGCTCCACATGAATTGTGGGGCTGTTTTCTCTGGTTCTGTGAGGAATGCTGTTGGTAATCCCAGCACTAGGGAAGCTGAGGTAGGAGGATCACTGGGTGTCTAAGCCAGCCTGAACTATACAGCAAGACCCTACCTCAAAAAATAAAACCACCAAAAAACAAATATGATGACTAACTTGTAAGGATGTACAAAAACGTAAATTCTTTTTAGAATTTCTCAAATTTACATTTTAAGAAAACTTGTTAAGTCAAATTCTGCTTAGTGTTATAATATAACCAGAAATATTAAAGATTTTTAAAATGAAGAAATGAATAACCTCATTCTACAATAAAAATTGTCAAACTTCTAGTCACAGTCCACCCTACAAATCAGTGTCAGCCACTTCATGTATATGGAGAAATAGATGAAAAATACTAAAAAGTCTTATTGGAGAAAGGACAGAAAGCACTAATTAATCTTTCAGTAGAACCTAAAGGAAAAACCCCAGCTATATACAGGTGCAGGGGTGCACCTACAATCTCAGCTTCTCTCCAGGTGGCACTATCTCTGACACATAGGAAACAACAGCTTATGGAGCTTAGGACGTCTAAGCTAAGTCCTACCATATTTGTTTTTTGAGGTAGGGTCTTGCTGTATAGTTCAGGCTGGCTTAGACACCCAGTGATCCTCCTACCTCAGTGATCCTCCTACCACTTAGCGTCTATAAGTCTCAAATGCTTGATCAAACCAAACTATTTTTGTCTATTTCACCACTTCTGTTCTTCATCTTCTCATTTTTTTTTTTTGCATAAATCAAAAACCTAGATTTCACCATTCTCTTCTCTCTCCTTTACCATATAAGCAGAGTCTGCCAAAAAAGGGTACACACACTTCAGTAGCTCATTGTACTAACAAAGGTCTGGAAGCTGATGGCTGCCTGTTTGTGCATGCCTTGTCACTGCAGAGGCCAAAGGAACTTGTGTTAACCTCATGATGTCGCAATAAACTTAGTATTACAAGTTTTTCTTTTCCTGATATACACGTTTGGTGGACACACACGTACACTGCAGCACACATACATACAGCAAGGACATGCATATGTGTGAAAGCTGAATACTCATATGTACTTATATAGATGCTGGGTGTGTTCACGCCCACCTGTAATCCCAACATTGAGACTGAGACAGGAGGACAGCTGGTCTGACCCCAAGCTGGGCTACTCGGTGACAGAGAAACCCTGTCTTGAAAATAAAAAGTGAAAAAGTTGGGGTTGGGGATGTATATCAGTATTGGCACTGAGTTTAATCCCAGTGTCACAGGGGAGCTGCTACTTATTTTCAAACATGTTGGATATTCTTAAAGTTTTATATAAATTACTGTTAAAGTGTTACATTTAAGTAAAACAGAACTAAAATAATTTTAAAACCAGAATGCTGACAACTCACGTCTATCTCATCAACCTATTTTTGAAAAATACTTGGCCCTTCATATCCACCTGTTCTGAATCAAAAACATTTTTAAAAATTGCATCTTTGGGTCAGGGATTTAGCTCAGTGGTGTAACTGCCTGCCTGGCAAGCACAAGCTTGTGAGTTTGATTCCTAGTACAAAAAACCCAGAAAAACAAATTGCATCTTTATTGAAGTTTACAGACTTGCCTTGTCATCATTCTCTAAACAACACAGAGCAACCACTGCTTATGCTGCATTAAAACTAACACAAGGTACTGAACACATCCAATACCACTTTACATACGGGGCTCGGGCACCTACAGATTCTCTTACCCCCAGACAACCCTGAATCAAGTCCCCAGCAGATTCTGAGGGCAACTGTACTACTGGCCAAACACAACACAAACAAGTGACCAAACAAACCCAAAGGAATTTTTGTAATTCTATGTGGAAACAGAAGCCATTACTGATTCTTGCTTGGGTAAACAGTCATTAGATAGGTTTGAAATCCTTTGAATTATCTATTCTAATAGAATTATAACAACAAAATTCTGTAAAAATAAAGGTGCCAAGACTAGTTTCTTCTAATTGATATTTTCTGAGACGTTATTACATATAAAATTTCACTTCTGTACTGCACATTTAATATATAGTACGAAGAAAGAGAACGAAGCTAAACACAAGACAATACCTGTGGAACATTCTTTATAATAGGCAATGGCTGAATTGTGGGCGAACCATCAGCTTTGGAAGCAGTCACCGGTTCAGCTGGCACTGACGTATTCAGCCCTCCTTGATCATGTCTCAGTTCTGTATTTTCATCTACTTCTGCAGGAGGAGGCGGCATCTGCGCAGGTTTGGAAGGAACTGACTCTTCCAGTGAGGGATAAGTAAAATCCACTAAAATCCACAAAGAATAGTATTTTTTTAAAGAACAGCAAGCTCTACAAACAGTACTTGTATTTGTCATGCATGTTGTGACAGTTAAATGTAAACTAAATGATATGACAATCCCAACAACCTTCCAGGTCATATGAATCTTTAACTGAAAACAGAACAAACGCATACAACGAAGACCATGACCCTAACAACATTAATAATCTATCTAATATTTACTGAGTAATTTTAAACAAAAGCTTCCACATACATACATGAGATAGACACCTCTTCGTTCTTGCCTCGTGGCGGTGGAGTGACTTTGGCATTTGTTGTGTACTGGGGATAGCAGAGGAGCCAGTTTTCATAGCCTCCCTCTAAAACCAACGGCTCGCTGCGCAGGACAGTTTTGCTTTCCCACTACAGAACAAGGAAATGGCATTTTAACGTGGCAGCAGCCTGCTGACAGCTAAAACCACCACCCGTGTGAACTGTTAAATTGCTCCCCTGAAGGCAAGATTCACTTGCTAAATGATACGAAATAACTGAATTCAAAATTCCACATTAAGTAAATAAGAGAAATAGATCAGATTCTACAAACCACATAAGTAATCCATGATCTTAAAGGAAAAACTAGAAGATTAATTAATATAAAATAAAATTGCCCATAACCTTACAACCCAGATATGCCATTTAACATCCTAGAGTTTATTTTTTATTAGTACATTTTTGCAAAACATAGTGAATACATTTACTCTGTTAATTAATAATGAGAGCACCACTTGTTCTAATTTGCACTTACCCAGTATCGATAAAGCTGACCATTTCTATGATGAGGTCTATAATCTCTTCAGATTCTGAGTGTTTGAAAATAATTACATATTTGTTGAAAATATTTTTGTCTTCTCTTTTAATATTATGTGTGTGGGGTATTTTTTTTTAAATCTAAAAATTTCTTTTATGAAGTCAAATCTGTCAAATCTTTTTTCCTGGGTAACTTTTTTTGCTTTTATGCTTCAGCATAATTCTTAAAACAAGAAATTAAATTTTATATAGATCAGTTTATTACTTGGTGATTTGAAACATTTTCTTTAACTATGAATTTTAAAATAGTTCCACAAAGTGGGATGGATCTTTTGGTTCTTTAGAAAACAACCAGTCCCCATGGCTTCCTGAGGCACCAGAGAAGGCTGCAGTTGCAGTGAACACACATGCTTGCTGACCTTAAAAAGTGCATCCTTCAGGCTGCGCAGAGTCGTTCCCAGCTGCAAATCTTTTGCAGAACTAAACCAGTCAAGAAGTACCACACAATCCGCATTCCCCCTCTTCTTCCATGTGTCTTTGGAGGTCTCTGGGAGGTTTGCTTCAATCCAACTGGCAGTGACTCTGAAATAAATTAACATTCATACTGAGACAAAAGCTGAGGCGATCCTAGGACACTAGTGGCAGACACCAAGTTTTCTTCTAACCTGTACTATTGCACAACCAACTGGAAGTAAATTCCTTCTAAGGCTCACACTGTATATTAAGATATTAAGCAGCCTAAAATTTGTAACCCTCTCACTACTGCACTTTGGAAAATGATGTTAATAATTATTAGAGACTAAAAGAAGTAGATTCAATTCTGCCCCTGCCGTTTTTTTTTTTTTTTTTCCCTTCTTCTTCTTCTTTTTAAAGAGCCACAACTGAAAGTAAAGGGAGTCATCTGGGTTTGTCGCCAAAATAAACAAGGGGCAATCACCTGGGTATCTTTACTCACTATGTAGTCCCCTTCTGCCTACTAGAGTCAGTAATTCAACAGTAAAGAGTTCACTGTTAACAAACACACAGAGCATTCACCATGTGCCAGACACCGCCCTAGCTCCTCCTCCTCACTGAACCCTCACAACTACCAGTGCGCAGGACAGAAATCCATTTTGTGGTCGAAGAAACCAGGCACAAAGAGGCTTCCTTGCCCAAGGTCACAGCTGGTAAGCACAGGTGAGACTGAAACTCGGACAGTGCGGCTCTGTCTATGCCTTTAGCTGCTTTGTTCTTCGGCCGCTTAGAAACGAGCTGTGCGTAACATCTGCGCACTGGAGCACGCTGATGCCTGCATCCTCTGATTATATCTGAGCGAAGTCCTTGCCCCTCCCCGCAGTGCAGTCTCCTAGAGCAGAACACCTGCCCAGCTTCCGCAGGGCTCTCGGGGCGCATGCTGTGCTCCTGCACAGGCACGGCCTCTGCTTTTGCTGCCTCTCAGTGTGGAGCCCTTTCCCGCAGCAACAGGTGCATCCCTTACTCCCTTATCACTTCCAGGCTTGCTAATAACTTCTTCTGAGGCCTCCCTGGAAAGAATGTTAAGATCCACCCCAATATGCATCACACACACATGCGCAGCACGCATGCTCAATCTACCATCACAGCACTCATCAAACATTAGGCCTATTTCATCCGGCAAGTTTTCACTGACTGTGTTACCTGTCCCATTTCCCTACTTACTATGAGCAGAGGTGACTATGATTTTAAGTGCTTATATTTGTTAAGTGGTTGAATGAGTCATACGAATTTACTCTTCTGGGTAAGAAGTGCCATCACTCCCACCAAAGCACTTAGCACACAGTAGGCATGTTAATATTTGAATGACACTGACAAGCAGAGCAGGACTTGCAAAGCATTACCCACAAGTGAGCCTAAATGATTTGGGTATTTTAAACAAACAAACAAAAAAAAAAAACCTCTTTAAAAATCCTATTCCTAAATAATAATGTTGGTTATTCTAGGAAGAAAGAGAGCCAGGTGTGGTGGTGCACACCTGCAATCCCAGCTCTTGGGAGATTGAGGCAGGAGGATGGCCATGAGTCGAGGCCAGCCTGGACTACGTAAGTGAGTTCAAGGCCAGCCAAAACTGCACACTGAGACGGTTTCAAAAACAAACAAACAAACAAACAAACAACAACAACAAAAAAAAAACAATGGAAGAAGAAGAGGAAGAAATAGTATAAAATGTCTCCTAGATCTGGGGATGGAGCACAGCAGGTGTGAGGCCCTGGCTTCCACCCACCACTAATGAATATGCAGAAGACAAGGTGTGATACTCTTTGGAACTATTTCCACCTCTGGGCGTGTTCTCAGGGTTACTATTCTACAGAAGACGCCATGGGAAACCACTGTGCTGACCGATGCGCCCCAAACAGTGACCTCCACATGCTGTCTTCAGTGTGCTCAGCTCAGCTCTACTCCTATCACAATTTAGTATTTAAATGTGATTTAACCACTACTTAGTAGCTCAATTTCAAGTCATCCTTTTTTTTTTGGTACCGGAGATTGAACTCGTGATCTTGGGCTTGCCAGGCAAGCACTTATGCCAATGAGCTAAATCCCCAGCCCCTATTTTTTAAAAAAATATTAGTAATAACTACTATTTTATTTATTTATTTATTGGTACCAGAGACAGAACTCATGACCTCATGCTTGTGCTGCTGAGCTGAATCCCTAGCCCCTAAGTCATCTTTTTAAAAATAAATTTATTTTCATAAGCAACTGGATATCCTTAGAGCTACAGAAAACCTTGTCCTGGCCCGAAAACAAAGGGCAAGCATGAAGCCAACCACGCTGGTCTGCAGTCTGGAGACTGCACAGCGCACACAGGCAGCTGGGACACCTGCAGACAGCCACAGGGACTACAGGCCGCACGTGCTGCCCCAGGAACAAAAAACACACAAACTGAGCACATCCGATGAGAAGTTGACAGTTCCATGCTCAGCCCTCTGGAATGCTTATTCTGTTTTATGGAGTGGTGTTGCTCACCTCTAGGATGGAAAAATAAAGCCACTTTGCATCTTCAAAAAAAAAAAACTGGGTGGCTTCTTGGGCAGGAGGGGGCTGGGAGGACCGAGTGGCAGGCCAGGGAAGATGCACTGCCCTGCAGCCAGACTCCCACACAAGCATTTGGACGGAGCACTCCCTTGCACACTCCTGTGCACGTGGCCGGTGCCAGAGTCTGGGTGCTGCTCTCTGACGAAAGGGCACTGAGGAAATGACCAGACGGTACAGCAGCCCAACTGGCAGCTGCCTGCAGCCAACTGAGTACTGGAACAGAAACTATAAGGGAGTAATTTTCTCAATATGAAACTGATTCCTCTTTAATATTCCACCTAAAATCACTCAGATTCACAGTGGTCATGACTGCGAACTCATGAAAGGCCACCAGCTTCCTGTTGGTACAGATCACCCAAAGTCCACAGCTTCATCTTTTCAAACCCTAGCAATACATTCAAATCTGCTTCATTAAACACTCCACAGCAAGGTTCAAAGCATGCCATTCCTCAGGTCAGACATTCACCAAGGGTCTGTAATTCATGAAGAACTATCTAAATTTTATCTAGTCTTTGAAAAATGCATGCTCTTAACACTGTTGGAAAGCCTGAGAATGGTTTTTATTTTTCAGTTCTAGTGGCTAAACCCATGGCCTTGCACATGCTAAGTGAGAGCTCCATCACTGAACTACATCCCCAGCCCTCTTTAATTTTTGTTTTTGAGATGAGTTCTCAGGCGTCTCAAACTTGTCATCCTTGAGCCTCCACTTCATGAGTATCTACGATTACAGGTAGGTATTGGTTCACATGGCTACAGCCGGACTACAACTCATCCAATCCCAGAAACTAAGATCAGAGGGCATGGGATTTACTTGCTAAAAACAGCAGATCTGCAAGTTCAGGTTCAGCTCTGCCACTGTGACAAAATGATTTCTAGTCTATAGTGGACACACGGAAGTCACTTTACACTGCTATACAGTTTTAAGACCTTTCTACTAAGGTTTTTTATTTGGTAAGTTGTTACTAGTGCCTGGCACTATGCTAAGTGTGTGATGTGTATAAAATGTCTCATTTAAATTTCTTGAAACATCTAAGGGAGGCAGTATATTATGGTTCCCATTTTACACATGGCAACAGGGTTAGAGAAGGTTAGTCACTAGCTAGAAACTCAATAAATGACAGATAACTGATACAACCTGACTACGAGACTATATGCTTTTTAATCATTTAGCTATCCATTTTTTAAAAAACTATTTGTACCACAGCTAAGAGTTTGGGGAATTTCAGTTTGTTTCATATAACCCACAAGAACAGCAAAGGACAGGAGGCATCAGGTGAGGGGCACGCAAAGGCAGCTGTGCTCATTTCTAACCAGACGCCAACTGTGACAGCCAGGAGAACGGGCCCTGTGGGATGCTTCTCACAATGCTCTTCAAAAGGATAAGGCGTGTCAGCGGGAAGCAAAGAATGAGGGGGCACAGAAAGAGTGGCGCCCACTTTCCCCATTAGCCCTAGTGCTCCATCACATGCAGCTTCCCCTGTTACCCAACGACTCAGTGACGCACCCAGGACTGATGGCTTCTTCAGGAACGCAGAGAGAATCCACGATGCAGGAGTCCCGGTAATCCTGTGTCTTGCGTGCATCCATGATCAACACGCTGATGTTTCTGTCCATCATCATGGTGTACAGCTCCTTTGCTGTGATTGCTCCTTGGAATCAACAGACAGCGTAAGTGACAAGAAACACCACCCCGTGCCGCAGCACATCATTAAACACAGGACAGACACAGCTTCTCTACAACAGCAAAGTTACTCAGCGTCACCCCCTGCTGTCTCACCACCCCACTCACTGTCTCCTAAACCAACATCAGGTGCGGTCTATGTTTATGTTTGCAGTGCCAGGAATCAGATCTGAGCTGTTTACAAAGCATTAAGTGTTAAAACCTGGGCTCCCAGCGCAGCCCTACAGTACAGCACCCGCTTAGCGTGTGCAGGGCCATGGGTCTGACCCTCAGCATCGCCAAAAAAGGAAAAGGAAAATCAAAATGAGCTCTTGAGGCTACATCTGGTGTTGCCTATGTATATCTTATAAAACTACTCTATTATTAAAAATCAAGACACTACAAAATTCAAAACTATTTATCAGAAAATATGTCTATGGCTCAGAAATTCCCAAAAGGCTTAAATCCTTTTTTAAAAAGTCTCCATGGGTGTTATTAGGTATATATGAAAAAGTTTTCCTAGAGCAATGACCCAAAAGCCTAGCGTTCAAGCCCCCTCTATCAGGGGAGGGCACCCATTTCCCTGGCCCAGTGCCTCTCACAGGGCCCCCCACAGCCCCCAAGGATGTCAGCCTAACATATCACTACCTGCCATTAGGAAAGCCTCATTCCACTTCATGCTCAGTAGCTGGCTCCCAGTCAAAAGAGAAAAGATTATTTTATTTTCTCTAAGAAGTCCCACAAGAAAGAAACTAAGTGAAGCTACTGACATTACCTATTTATTTAACTAGGCAGGGGACCCGACAAAGTAAGTGTTCCCATGTTGCTGCTTCCCCCAGCGTGCCATCTGTAGAGAAGGTAAGCGGGGGAGCAGAGGAAGCCTCACGCTGCAGGGAGGAGCTGACTCAGCAGCCCTTGCTGCAAACGCCTCTGCTGCCCTCAGATGCCCGGCCTGCTAACCACTGGCAGCTTCCAGTCAAGACACTGCAAGCAAGCCTGGCCACTGCAGACAGGGACCACTCAAGCAAGGTCCAGGAGGATAAGCAGATACAAAGCGAGCCCAGGGTAACCCAGCAAAGGCTTCCAAGAAGGCACCCCACTCAGTTATTTTAAAAATTGCTCCACACCACTATTTTCATTAGGGAATTTATTTTAGCGTTACATACAATTATGTTTAAGTTAAACCTTTGCTGAGACAGGAAAAACTTTCAGTAGACAATCTGTAAGTGCTGGTTAGGATCAGGAATTTGTGACTATATCACCTACGGATAACATCTAAATTCTTAGTTTAGCTTGTTTCTCAGCGGATGAGACCTCACAAATGCAAGTCATAAGTAAGAGCCATAGATAACACTTAAACTTTACTATGGGTTCTATGAGTTTTTCATACAGTAACCAGTCCATACTTCACAATAACCCCATGAAAACAGGTTTTATTATATCCCCACTTTATAGATGGGGGAACTAAGGCAGAGAGGTTAAGTATGTTCAAGATCACACTGAATTCAGAGGAAGAGCTAGGTTTGAAAGCCAGACAATCTAACTTTAGAGAGTTCATATTCCAAACCATTACACTAAACTGAATCTAGAAAAGAAAACAAAGTGCAGACTGTAGTTTCAATGTTTTCAACTGCGTATTTCCACAATTTATCATGTCAGGCTAAAATTATTGATAAATATTCCCCATAGTAAATAGACATGGAATCGAAGGCAATTTCAGTATAATGGTACAGAGTAAGAAAGGGCATAAAACTTATACTGAGTGTTTTCATTGTATAGAATCTGAAATTATTTTGACTTTAAAAAGCTCTTACTTTTATACAATGGAGTACTACTCAGCCATAAAAAAAGGACAAACTTGAAACTTTTATAGGTAAATGCATGCAACTTGAGCTCACACTCATAAATGAAATAAATCAGACACGCATGTGTGAACATTGTATTATCTCACTAGTGAGAGGAGCTGAAAGAAAATGATATATGTATATGGGTATATACAGATACAAAACAGTTATACTACTGATTTCTCTGAGTTCACTGAAGAGAAGAGTTTGCACTGGTGCTGTCGGACAACTGAATGTCGATGTCCTGCATGCTGGGCAACTGATTTGGGGATGGCAATGTGCAATGTAGGCACCATTGTTGTTCCCTGCTTGTAGTGTTTCAAAATTTTGTTTTATGTTTTTTCTCTTTGAAATAAAATGGTTTTGAAAAAATAAACAGCACTCAGTGAAAATTTAAGCAAAGAGCCTACTTACCTTTCTCTGCAGTTTCTTTTTTTTCACTCTTTTCACCATTGATCTATTTCATAGGGAAAAAAAAGTTTTAACTTTCACTGCAACACAAGGTTGAACTTTAACACTTCAATGAAGGCGAACGCCTAAGAGACGAAGTGCACTGAGTAATGCCATTTTATAAAAACACAGATGAGCAACACAGGCACCGACCCCAGCTGGAACAACAAGCAGCATGTCAGAACATAACACCTGTTTTCCCAATTTTCTTCAATTAAAGGCCAAAAGTAATTTAAAAGCACAAACTGCCACAGAAATTTGGTGTTTAATTAGAAAGTATTTCTTACAATGAAACAGATGTTCTAACTATACATTCAGTGTCCTCCATTATGCAGTTAAAGGAAATGTATCCCAAGTGTTATTTGTGTCATTTACACAGCCTGTAAAACACTCATCCTAAAACCAAGGACTCACTTGCAGCTATGGCTCAACTTTGGCACCACTAATCATAACAAAATAAAATAAATGTGCATTTGTGTGCCTTCATACAGAACACAACATGAAGCACACAGTATTATCTGAGATGCATTCTTGCCATAAATCAAAACTCGAAACCGACCCTATGTGAAATAAAAAAAGGAATATGGGAAATAGAAAACCAAGTAAAATGACACCAGGAGGAAGTAACCAGAGAGACAGACTGTGGATCACTTTCAGGAATTAGAAAGTCTGGCTAGTGAAATGAACACTGAGAGGGTTGTCTCACTTCTCTGAGTACCTGCACCCCATTCTTGACTGTGTCCCACGTCTACCTCCAATACATTCTTGCCAGGTATCTTGAGAAAAATAAAAATCAGAGGAAGAAACACCTCCATTGGAGATTAGCTGAGAGCACCGCAGGAGAACCTTTAGAGTTTTCAACGGTAGCAAATAGCTGGCTGCGGCACGCATGCCAGACAGAGGTTTGCCACTGCCGCTGTGGAAACTTAAGTCAAACACAGCTCTCTAGTCTGCATCCTAATTCAGGCAAATCAATGCAAAAAAAAAAAAAAAAAAATCATTTTAAAACAAGTATCTAAATCTAAAAATAGGCAGAATATTAGATTACCTTAGAGAATGACTATTAATTTGTAAGTGAAAAAATAGGACTGTGGTTAAGATGATTTTCTTTTGTGAGATGTGTACTGGAATACCAGGAGAAAACTGGTGCATGAGCTAGAATATGCTGTGAAACACCCTAGCATAGAAAAGCAGGAGACAGATTTAAAAGTATGGCAAAACGTTAGTTGATTAATAAAGGTTGAGCGACAGGGCCTAACTGTATTCTCTTTCCAAAACAAAAAGAAAAAAAAATAACAAAAAGTGAACAACCACTTTTGGAACGGCAACAACATAGAGTTCATAAAGCTCTCGTTATCCAACATCCTTCATGGCTTCTAGGATGTCCTCTCAGGCAGTCACTGACCCGTAAACACCTGCTAACGCAGGCCACTTAGCACACGAGACAAGTTCCTGAAGTGGAACAGGACTCTGGTGGGGCCTAACACAGTGTCACTACTTCTTAATGCAACTAATGATCCACAAAACAAAACAAAAGAAAACAAAACCAAAAACTGAAAACCATAAAATGCCTAAGGGGAAAAATGAAAGAAGCATTTCCTAGGATTCCAGCAAGATCAAAGAAATGGTGGCACAGTGACTAGTGACAGGTACAGACAGAACTGGGGCAGCTTCTGGTGAACACTCTGAGGAGCAGCTAAACACAAGGGAAATAGGAAGGAGACAGGGAACCAGCAGAGAAAGGAGGACCAAGCACAAGGGTGCAAATGAGATAAAACGTGTGACACCAAGTAAAGCAGTATATCCAATCAATGTCTTAACATAAACTTCATTATTAGAGCGAAGAAGTCTTAAAGGTCATCTATTCCAAGAGCTTCGCTTGAAAAGGGAGGAATGCGGGTTCCAGAGCAATTCAGCTGGACGCAGCGAGGCCAAAGCTGGATACGCTGAGTCTCAGCTCACACACTGCTTCTATCACTCAGGTCAAGCTGATGATGGCTGCTAAAAATGCAACAAGGACAGAAGACACAGCTGCAGAAGCTCATAAGTGTCCCTGGAATCAAGTGAACCTGGAACATTTACTTCAATTTCTAAAAACACCTTAAATTTGACCCAGATGGCCTGAAAGAACTGTGGAGAGGGCTCTCAACTTCTCGGGAGCAAATCATGGAACTAACAGAAGCAGACTTTGACTATACAAGAAATGTGAAATACCCTTTGGGGTTTGCTTTTGGAATCCAATACACTCTCCAAAGAACCTTTGGCCGTCGTACTAGCATCCTCTTTTCCTGCTTCCTGCCGCTTCTGCTGCAGCTGCTCTTCCTCCTGTCTGTCTTTCTCTTCCAGCTTTTTCCGAACTTCCGCTTCTTCGTATCTAGTTGAAAAACAGCCAAGATTGTATTTTGCTGGCAGGACAGCGGAAAGCAAACGGGTTCCCATTCCAAAGCTACCAGCCTGCTGTGGGGCTGCCCCATGGCCAATGCTCCCCTCCAGTGGAGGTCTGCACTAGATTCACACCTGTGCCTTTTGGGACACCGCACGTTTACTTCTAAACCCACTGGAGGCTGGCAAAGCACTACTCTGTGCTCCCGAGGTGGAGTTATTTAATGTGCTTTTCCTCTTGCTAGTTTTGATCTTTATGGAAAGTTTAGTGGTTTTTTTTTTTTTTTAAGCTATTAGGGACTAAACCTAGTACCTTTTATGATTCAAAAGAACTGCAAGCCCCTGCTTCTCTCCACAAAAGGAACAGTCCAAAAGCCATGTCTGTGATATAGAGTAAAAATGCTACAGTGAGCCTTCAAAAGGTACCGGAAGGAGAGCCAGAGTATCACTAAGGTCAACAGGTTATGGGAGTTTGTTTTTCTTTTGCAGTACTGGGATTGAACCCAGGGTCTTCACACTGAGATATAACACCCCTCTCCCTGCTTTGCTCAGACTGGGCTCAAACTTGTGATCTTCCTGCCTCAGTCTCCCAGAGTACTGGGATTATAGGGCTGTGCCACCACACATGGCTAGTTTTTTGTTTTTGTTTTTTTTTTTGAAGAATAACTACATTGAAATTTCCATCTTTTTGGAAGTTAAACATGTATCTTAATAAATATCCAAATGTCTTATTTTTCTCTGATTGCTGAGACAAAATATCTAACACCCAAAATTAAAGAGGGAAAGATTTAGTTAGCTCAATTTGTGGAGGTTTCAGTCCATAATCAGCTGGCTCCATGGCAGGAATGGCATACGGGCAACCTTTCAAGGCAGTGGAAGACAGCAAAAGCAGCTAAAGCAAGAGGAGCAAGCCTCTTTCCTTTCCTTATATTGTATGCTGAGTATCCACAGGCGTAGCTCTCACACCCCCAATCCCAGCACCAGACAACAAACCAACCACAAACTCTCAATTTGGCTGCCTCCAAAAGACCACCTTCACGACTCCATGAGGCTTTGGGAGACATCCAAACACAAACTATAACATTCCAAGGAATTTGGAATTCTTCCCTATTAATTTATAAGCATGTAGCAGGGAATGTTATTATCAAGCACTTGCTACCTGGTTTGCCCCAAGAATAACCAGCAACACCTGCCAGACCAGATAGGTGGGGAGAGGCCTGCAAACAATGTGGATTTATACAAAGACTAAACCTCAAGGATGTAAAAGGAAAATGTTTTGGTAATGAATCAAGAAATAGGAAACCTCTACTGTATAGAAATAGCACTGAAAATAAAAATGTCCAAATACAAATTCTAGAAGTGAATGTTTTTTAAAAAAGAAAAAACCCTCATCTGAAAATGGGAGGTGATAGTATATTCAGAGCAACAGAAATTACCCAACCTGAAGAACACAGAATGAAATGAAAATAGTAATAAAAAAAGAGCACACCCTTAAGAATATGCTGGGAAGGGAGGAATCAATGTATAGCTGAAGTCCCAGCAGAGAGTGAAAATGGGACAAAAAAAAATATTTTAAGAAATAATGGCCAAAACCTTTCCAAATTTTAGGAGACATGAATTTACAGATGCAGGGAGCTCAGTGAATTTTGAACAACAGTGTATCACACTAAAAGGCAAGAAATTTTTTTTTTCTTTTTTAAGACAGCGTCTTGCTAAGTGACCCAACATATCTGTTGTAGTCAGGGGTTGTGAGGAGAATAATTACCATTAGGACACAGAATTTATAATATTATTTTATGATGGTGACCCAGAGCTAAACACAAGAAAGTACAGGAAATCTATCCACAACACTAAGATCCAGAATATTTAGCCAAGGGCCTAGATCCTATAGTAATGTCCCGGATGAGTCCAGTTGAAGACTCAGAGCCCATGACAATAGGCCCCACAAATCCAACTGGAGCTCTAGAGCCCAGAACAAGGACTCACACCAGTTTTTTTATGGATCTGCACTGAGAAGGCCCAAAGGTCAGTAGTGGAAGCTATAAAGTCTGTGCCAGTGGGGTGGAAGAGCTGTACTAGTAGGTTGAAGGCTCGACACTGGAGCTGAGAAGTCAGGCTCAAAATAAGGACCAAGGCGTCCCTGAAAAGTACTGCAGCCATCCTCAGCAATAAGGAGGTGCCAAGCTCCTCGGATAATGAGAACAGTCGATGACAAGCTTCTCCTGGAGGTTAAACAGCACACACCTTCCCTCCAGAGCCAGGAAGCGATGTTCAATGTAAGGACCAGAGCTCCCTCAAAGTGAACTGCAGTCACTGATGATAATGGCCAAATACATATCACAGAAGCCAGCAGGATGAGCTCCTCTAGGAGAACCAATGGCTCGAAACAGCAATACTTAGGAGAACCCACAATGCCTCACTCTTCATCACATCTCTATTTATGCTGGCAACTTTCCTCAGGTGGGCCATCTACACTCAGCAGCGTCTGACTTAATTCGGCTGGTGTTAAGTTGACCACCAGTTTTTTGTTTTGGGTGCTGGGGATTGAACTCACAACCTTACACTTGCCATGCAGGTGTTTATGCCGCTGAGCTAAATCCCCGACCACCAATTTTTAATCCATACCAATATCCTTATGTGCCCCAGCCTCCTGAGAGCCAGGATTACAGGCATGTGCCACCACACCTAGCTAAGAAAATCTAGAGTCAGATGAAAACATTACACACAAGGAACCAGTGACAGGTGAGACTGCCAGCCTTTCCACATGAGAAGCAGTGTCTTTAGGGTGCTGAAAGGCAGAAGAAACCAGAATCCTATACACCCCAAGAACATATCCTTTCAGAATAAAGAAGAAATACACATAGATATCCTTAATAAATGAAAATCAAGAATTGAAACACAAGGGCCTGCTGAGTTCAACCCTAGTACCAAAAAAAAAAAAAAAAAAAAAAAAAGGATTTGTTTTTTTCCTCTTCATTTCTTTCAATCATACATGCCTACTGTTTTGGTTTTGCTGACTGAACCCAGGGGCACTCTACCACTAAGCTACATTCCTAGCTGATTTCATTTTTTACTTTAAGACAAGTTCAAAGTTGCTTAGGCTGGCCCCACACTTGTGACCTTCCTTAGCCTCCCAAGTATATGGGTCTAGGGGCCAAGTGTCACCACACCCTGCTCACATGTGCAAAAGTTATAAACCTATTATTAAGAAAAAGTTCTAGTGTATGAGGGCATAATATACGTGACAAGTAATGCATAAAGTAAAAACTTTACGGTTACAAGGCTTTTGTATTTTACATGGTTACAAGGCTTTTGTAGTTTACATGAAGATAATGTTGCTATATACGGATGCATATACCACAATATAGAAAGAGAAAATAGAGAGAAATTCCTCCAGAGCTACTTTTTAAAAATTTAGTATCGTTAAAAGCTAGCAGATAACATGGAATTCCACAGAGTAGTTCAAAGAAAGGCAGGAAACTAAGAAATGAAAACCAGATGGCAACTTGAAGGAAGCCAGACAACTAAGAAAAACAGATGACACAAGGGAAAAACAGTAAAACAACAGAGCTAGGTCCAATTGCAGCAATTATTACATTAAATATGAATATATAAAATACCCCAATAATGAGGCAGAAACTGCCGGAATGGGTGAGGGAGTAAGACTCAGTAAAGTGATGTCTACACGCATGCACAACCATTAGACAGGCTTCGGACAAATGGCAAAGGACGCCAGCGGTCAGCACACTGACTACGTGGCTCACCAGTCTTTGGGAGACAGAATATTTCCAAGGCAAAGAGAAACATAGCAATAGCGGCCCAATTCATTGGGGCTTTATAATGCTTATGTGCCTACAATCATGATTTCAAAACATACAGGACAAAGGCTGAACAAGTTAAATGCAGAAAAAATTACAGTTAAAAATTTACCCTCTCTAGTAATTGTTACAACTACTTATTTATTTATTTGACAGGGTCTCACTATGCAGTTCAGGCTGGCCTTGAACTCATTATGTAACCCAGGCTGACCTCCAGTTCGAGGAAATCCTCCTGCCTCAGCGCCCCCAGAGTGCTAAGACTACAGGTCTGTGTCCCCGCACCTGGCTGGTAATTGTTACACGGTTTGTGTCTCCCTCCCCCAACCAAACTCAACAACCTGAATGTGACGCCTGGTATTGAGAGCGGGGGCCTTGGGAAGGTTACAGGGCTGGAGAAGGTTGTCAGGATGCAGCTGTCATGCCTGAAAGCATGACAAGAAGAGACTAAAAAGACTCCTGCCACAAAGTGCTGCAGGCTCCCAGGATGTCACCTCAGGCCGCACCCAGCGACCTGCTAAGGCTGCTAACTCAATGAACCTCTTGACTTTACACAGTTAGCCGGCCACGGGCATTTTCTAACACAGCAGACTACCAAGAGAGGGTGGGGCATGAGAACCAGCTGCTCTTTCTTTCCAATGTACACAGCACCTTCACTGAGACAGACCATACACAAGTCATGAAACAAGAACACTTTAAAAGGCCTGGATACTCTGACCACAGGGAAATGACATTAGAGATCAGTAAGATACCTAGAGAAACCACAAATATCTGGAAATTTAACAACATACTTCTAAGTAATGAATGCATGGGCCCAGGGAGAAATTACAAGGCAAATCAGAAAATATTTAAAAATGAGTTATTAAAAGATTAATAAAAGTTGAATAAATAAAAAATTATTAAGCTCTACTCAGGTAACAAAATGCTCCTAGATTTATAAAAACCAACACATTAAAATAAAATAAATGGAAACTAATGTGAACAACAACCCACAGGATGGCAACAGTGAAACTTTTAGAGCTTTCAAGGATCACAAACAGCAGCACGTGGCCACAGGTTTGCCATGGCCACAGGACACTAACACAACAAAGACACAAACCCAACAGAGGTCCTGCCGTGCTGCGCCCCTCCAGCAGTGTCCAGGGCTGCATCAAGCCTCTGATGGGACTATGCCTCCTGGAACATCCACTCCCCATCCCCTCTACTCCCCTGAGAGCCGCAGGCGGGACAGGAGGCCAGGCATCTGGTGCCTAGAGGTGAGGGCACCACTCCACTCCTGCTGCCTGTCTCAACGCCAGTGTCTGGTTCACAGGCGCCACACAGAAGTGAACACCTCAGGACAGGAGTATGCAATCCTTCTCGTCACCCCTTGCAGCAAATCATGAGAGGAAGGTGCTGCAAACAGGTCCTTTCCTTGGTTAGTGACTTTGTGCCAGGCAACAACCAGAGTGTGTGCATATTAATGTGCCTAGAGTACTCAAGAGCCCATAAGGTAGGCTTACTTCTATCCCAGCCACAGCGGAGGGAACAGGCTGAGACCACATGGTCAGTAATGGGAGAAATGGGATTCAATCTCTGCAAGCCCAGCTCCGTACACCTCCTCTGCTCCCTATGCTTCTCCAGAAGTACTCTAAGCTCCAGCAGGGGTGAACTGCCTGCCCTAACAAGCAAACACAGACAGCCTGAATCTGATCTGCTGAGGCAGAAATGGAGAAACTTTACAAGTCTCTTTCTCCTGCTTGCTTCCATTACCCCACATCACCTCCACCTCACCATCCTCTCCACTTCTACCAGGGTCTCTGCAAAGCTGCTTACAGAGCCAGCTCCCACCCTGGCACTCCCACTGGTAACCTAAGGCAAGGCCAAGGCCTACTCACTCTTGGACGCTGACTTCTGGTTCTGTCCCTGCCTGCCCCATCCCTTCTACTAGCATTCTGACACCTCCAAACCAGGCCATCCCTAGCATGATTGCACAAGAAACAGGTGAGCACAAGTTGGACAAGTACTCTGTGGGGACAGGGAAGGCTGAAAATCTGCTTCCAGCTGAGGATGAGGTACTTCTGCAAATGGCCCCAGCAAGAGTAAGGCCACGAGTTTGATCCTCAGTACTACCACCAAAAAAGTAAAAAAGAGAACCAAACACTTGGGGCAGAGGGTAGGGTAAGGACTCACAAGGAAAAAACCAGAGTGGAAGGTTCTCCCCATGTAATGACAAAATAATCTCTATCACAGGAAAAACTCAAGCACATTTAACAAAACCTTAGAGCTAGAAAGGGCCCCAGAGGGCATTAACAGGGGCCTCACAACATTGAAAGCTTTTTACCATGCAAAAAGTAAATATTGAAATACTCCAGCCTAAACTACATAGTGAAACCTTGTCTCACAAAAACAAATAAAAAAAGAAACACTGAATCATTCTCAGTGACTCCTTTATAAGGGGAAAGATTGTTTCTTAAAGACGAAAGTGTCAAGGCTTAAGAAAATTATGCTTGCTTGGAGAAGCACCTGCTTTTGTCACTGAAACCTACCTGTATTTAATGTTCTGATGACACATATTACAAAATTCCCTTCACATGAACCCTGCACATTTGTTTAAAAGAAATACCAGTAATAAAATGCACTTGCAGTCAATCTCCACTGACCAGTTTTCAAACATTTTATGATCAAGGTCTCTTTGTGCAGTAACCAGTTCTAGAGAGTTTTACACAAACACTTCTTTTACCCACATAGCTTCTATGCAGTCACAGATTAACAGCTTTCTGAAGTATTTGGCAACTGCAACATTTCCTTTGCCCTTACAGCAAAAGCAGTGTGGTACCAACAGTAAAGAAACATTCAACAGCAACGCATCAACCACTCCACCACCTGACCTCATGGTGTTTAATTGTTGTCTTTGCCTTTTAAAGGGCCAACGGTGCAGTTCAGGGCATAGCACTTGTCTAGTACACATGAGGCCCAGGGTTCAAGTCCCAGCACCATAAAATCAATGAGTGAACAACAAAAAATGTTTCAAACTTTACTTTTAAAAGAACAGTTTTAAAAACAAATAAATTATTCGTAAATAAAAATTTAAACCAGTACAGGAACACATCAGCCTGCTTCAATTTTCTAGTCTCCCTCTTATCTATCATTTGCATCATTAATGTCTGTCTGCCCTTTTCCACTAACCAGACTTTGGCAGCCTGTATCACCTGAAAGCCACTCTCCTGTCTTCCCCTCCTGTATCGTATTTCTGAGAATGCTTTTAGATGTATCCAATAACAATTTTTATGCTGTAGATGTGGGCAGAAATTTATCTACTAGGACTTCATGAAAGCATTATGCTGTTATAAGGGCAACATTCTAAATTTAAAGAGTGAGTAAAAGCTGAAATATACTATTTTTAATTTGCAAGTATTTTAATCACTTCTCAGCCTTTTGGTTAAGATCAAGAGTAACTCTCAAGAATTTTATAAGCTTCATAAGCTAGTCATGGCAAATATCAGAATTTAATCCTAGTATGGAGTAGCACAGTACAACATGGGATATATAACGAATTAAATTTACAGAGATTGTAATTTATGAAAAACTGGACCAGGGTTCTAAGCTAATATACCAGCACTTACCTTAAAAGTCTTTCTAAATCCTTAAAAACTTTAATAAAGAATTTTAACACACGAATGTAATATAAGTAATATAGCAAACACTTTTTATTTCTGTGTACCAGTTAGCATAAATATAGCTCCTAGGAACTGGGTATTACATGCATAGTCAGATATAAATCGACAAACCATAAATATTACTTTTAATTTCTAAATTTACATTCCTTAAAGACTTCATAATAACAGTACCTCAGTTTGAGGCTTTCAGAGAGTCTTTCAGCTTCTTCAATAGCTTTTTTGATGTTTGCAGGTCCAAGTACTGAGTGAAAGTAGTCCTAAAATGGTAGGAAGCCATGTCACATTGTTAGTACTGGTGCTGCACACAGTATTGCTGTTAAAAACATTACAAGCACGATGCTCACATCAAGGAAACTTCACACGAAAACAGTACAATAACTGAAGTTCTGTTTTTTAGCTTTTAATCTACACAGATGAACAATTTAGTCTCAAAAAAAGTCTCAGAAATGTTTCTTCACAGCAACAGTATGCTAGCAAAAATCCCACCAGGTAATAAATTTTACTCATTTATAAGTCACCATTAGGAGATAATAAACACTATTCCTTATTGTTTATGAACATATTGTTATGTACCAAGAGCAGTTTTTAAGAACAAAAATGTATTTTCTTACTAGAGATTAAGTTATTTTCTTCACTTTCAATAGCAGTAAAGCAAATTATGTATAGCAATACAGGACAGGGTTTATTTTGTTCACTTATTTTTTAAAGTGAGGTATTTTTGGTTCTACTGTACTTTACAACAGCTAATCACATCCCAGCTGGACTCAACACATTTCTGACACATATAAGATTTACATTTCAGGAAACATTGAACAACTAAAACCCAATGATAAGAAATAAACCAAGAACATAACCTATCTTTAAAAAAACACATAAGGTTTAACATGATATGTCTGACTGAAAATATAATAAAAATTTCAAAAAACTTACCTACTTCAAAAGGCCACTCAATCTGATCAGAGGCATTACAAACCAAGGCTGGCTGGCCATGACAGGACTCAGTTTTACTGGGCCTGGTAAATATGACTGCAGGAAGAGTCGTGCACGCAGCCCCACCCCTCACCAGCGCCAGTGGTAGAGACTAATGATAAAGGCAGCGCAGCAGCCCGGGAGGCCTCATCATCGGCTCTGGCTCTGCACGGCCATCATAAAGACTGCAGTCCTGGAGCAAATCTGTGTAACAGTCACCACTACCTACTGTGCCTACCATAAGCTGCACTGTGGATTACTAACTTCTCTAAAGCCTACATATGTCAGAAGGGCCCTTTACACATTAGGGAACGTGGGGAAAACTGGGGTCTGCTTAGTGTCCTAGCCACTGAACACTAGTAACCTCCCTCGGTACCTAATGTAACACAACTGTCACTATAATTTTCTGATACAAATAAAATACAGTGTAAAAACCAAATATGCAAACATGCTATGATCTTTTAAAAATTGTATTTGAAAGACAATAAAACAGAATAAAGCCAATCAAAATGAAACAGTGAAAGTGATACAGAACTTCAAAACAGGATAAAAGAGAATCAACAATGGCTACCATAATGCCTCCTATCTTCACAACTGCTGCCCATACCATCAGACGTAATAAAATCACACAAAACAGAACACTGGGGGCTGGGGATTTAGCTCAGCGGCATAAGCGCCTGCCTTGCAAGCAGGCAGTCGTGAGTTCAATCCCCAGTACCAATAAGAAGGAAAAAGACCAAAAAAAAAAAAAAAATCAGAACACTGAAGAAAACAAAATAATAAAACAGAACAAAACAGTGAGAACAATATTGGATTTCAAAAACAAAACAGAAGAAAATCCCTCTTAGCTCCTGTATTGCTTATTGTTATCCTCTATATAGATGCTCAGACTACTAGCTTTAGGCCTGCAAAGCCAATCAAACAATGTAAGAATTAACTTGTTTCTGTATCTCAGTTGCTATCAACCCAGCCTGATCCTCCAAATCAACTAGCTGCTTATGTGGGGGAGGGGGGGATGATTTGCTTTATCTAATTTGACATATGAATTTTTTTTTGAGAAAGGGTCTGACAGCATAGTTCAGGCTGCCCCTGGACTTACTATGTAGCCCAGGCTGGCCTTGAACTTGTGGCAATCCTCCTACCTTAACCTCCTAAGTGCTGGGATTACAGGTGAACACCACTACACCAGCCAACATTTGAATTCTTAAAGCATGTGAACACAGTTTAACTCTCTTAAGACACTGCAAAGGCCAGATGTGGAGCAATGCCTATAATCCCAGTATTCTGGAAAGTTGAGGCAGGAGGCTCTCAAGTTTGAGCCCAGTCTTGGCAACTTAGTGAAACCTTGTATCCAAAAATAAGGAGGGTTGGGTTAGGGATGTAGCTCAGTGCAAACCTGGGTTCAATCTTAGTAGCACACCTCACCTCCCAAAAAAGATGCTAAAAAAATGATGTTTGGGGCAACCCACTTGAGACCCCTCAGACAGAAGCTTTCTTTTTCACAATAAATATATTCTGCTTTTACCCTCCGTTGTTCCTAAAAGTCATTTTAGGAAATATGAGAATATCATTTAGAGGTCTTTCACTGAGACCACTGGACAGAAGTAAGAGTTTTGTAGTAGAGTGAAAGATATGGCCACACGCCTGTAATCCCAGCACTCAGGAGGCTGAGGCAAGACGGTTGCCATGAGTTTGAGGCCAGCCTGGGCTACGTAAGCAAGTTGAAGTCCTATGTGTACTACATAGTGAGAGCCTGCCTCAAAAAAAAAGAAGGTGAAAAACACAAGAAATTCAGGATACCTGATTTAAGGAGTAACAACTAGAAAACCATATAGTTAGGAAATGTTTCTTTTCTTTTTCTTGTTTTGGTTTTTGAGACAGGGACATATGACATCGTTCAGGCTGGTTTTGAACTCACTATGTAGCCCAGGCTGACATGGAACTGACAAACTCGAAGGATCTTCCTGTATCAGCCTCCCATTAAGCCAAGACTCCAGGCACAGGTCCCTATGCCCAGCCCTTAATTCCTCTAAATGCGTGAGGGAACCCAGCCCTTCCACTCCATCTGGCCATCACATATTACAACAGAAAGCACATTGTGGCCCACATGCTGCTACAAATGTTTACTAACGCAGCAAAGTAAGGGAGTGCCCACATGCACACACAAACACACGTGGAAGCCACGACGCCATCTTTAGCTGCTCTTCCCCAGAGCTGGCCTTGATCTTACACAGTGGAGCCTGAGCCCACTGTGAGCAGGACATGCAGCTCAGGAGCACAGCATCTGCTCTGAACGGGAGAACACTCAGTTCTATCCCTGCAGCCCCGGTGACACACCCTCCAAGGAAACTCAGTTCACTGTTAGCCAAAGCTCTTCAAGGAAACCAGTAGTGCTGTGCAAAGTAACTTAACAAAAATGCAAAAAATAAAAGGTACCTGTTGTTGCTTGAAATCGGGTCTTTTTTTGATAAGGTTATAAACAGTCACATATTTCATGTATAGTACGTAGGCTCTTTCCTCATCACGATCTAATCTGCATTCTTCTGCTGTCTTGAAGATCTTCAGAGCACTGTGCACATAACTTAAAAGGAGAGAAAAGATAATTAAAATGCTTGATATCTGGTAGAAAGGCAGAGGTCACATATGCAGTCTAGATTTTTTGTGTGCGTGTGCGTGGCATTAGGGACTAAACTTAAGGTATTGTCCCATATTCCCAGGCCCTTTCCCACTTTCTATTTCTTATTTTGAGACAAGATTTTTCTCAGTCAGCAAGCCACTAAGTTGCCCAGACTGGTCTTGGCCTTGTAATCTTCCAGCCTCAGCTTCCCAGGGAGCTGGGATCACAGGTGCAGGCCAGCACGCCCCACCCACAATAATCTCCACAGAGTAAATTTAATGATTTAGGTTGTACTACTTTACACCCTGCGTACACAGAGGTTTGGATACAACCAATTTCTACTTTCTCTGAGATGTGTGTAGTCTTGGATAAACCACTAGTTTCTCCAGGAATGCCCTGCTTTGGGTCTGACTTTAAAGACTTCTCTCTTCTTTGGTCCTAAGACAGTACAAAGGTGGCCTGATGGCTCTGACTGCTCCCTGTCTGAAAAGCATGTAAACATGCATGGAACAGAACTGCCCTCCCTGTCACCTCAGCACCCATCAGCAACGAAGTCCAACAAATAAGCCAACCACTCTTATTCTTCCCACAAAAGGTCTCTTTGCAATATTCAAAAGTATCACTTCATCTGGGGTTTTCCTTCTTGACATTTTTTAAGTTTTTACTAGTCTCTTGCCATCCTTGATATTTTATTTCCCACCTTCTGTTTATTTCTTTCGAAAATCTCTCTCTATGCACCCAAAGGTTTCATGAGAAACCTCTAAAACTGCTCTTTTGGGCTCAGAATGAAGTTTTTTGGAGTTTTTTATTTGTTTCCAGCTATGCAACCCTTATTTTTCCCTTTAACTTCTAAAATCTACTTTCCTCATGTCTGTGGACTATGGCTAGTTAGGTCCATCTTATTTCTGACTCCACAATAATGCAGTTACTTATTTATCTCAAATCTTTTCTTGTTTTGAGCAAAATAAATTTCAGAAGACAATTTCTCTTACTATCTTCTGATCCTTAATGGAGATACAACTAACAACAGATTAACAATTTTAGTGATTCCCTACTTCCAGCAAAACTACATTTCAGTAAATACCAAAGTAACTGATGTGATCTTTAAGTCATTTTTACCTCATTTTGTGAAAAGACAATGACTTGTGGCCAAATGATTTTTACAGACCCCTCTGACTGTCTCTTAAACTTATCACCTCTTTTATCTTCCCTGGACAGTAACCATGGGATCAGACAGCACACAACGTACTTTTTTTTTTTTCTTTTTTTGGTCTTTTTCCTTTTTATCAGTACCGGGGATCGAACTCACGACCGCCTGCTTGCAAGGCAGGCGCTTATGCCGCTGAGCTAAATCTCCAGCCCCATCACACAACGTACTTGTGAGAAGAATACACATGCACTGTGCCAAGACAAAGAACTTCCCTAGAGTGGTCTCCATTCATGCACATCTATCTACTAATAAGCTTTAAACTGCCTAGTCACCTAACTTGAACAGAAAAGGATCTAAAATTGAATGATCCAAACAAAGCAGCACAGGATGCATACCTCTTAGTGCTTATTTTCTCGGGCTTCACTTCTGTCTTCTTATTGAGGTCTTTTAGTGAAGAACTGAGGTAGAGTTCTTTAGGAACTGAAGCCACAGCAGGCATGATGAATAAGCTTTACTTTTCCACTTTCAGAATGCATGAAAAGTAGCTCTTTCCTGAAAGAAAACAATTTCACTAAGGCAAGTTTTCTCGTGAATAAGAGAGCAGTTTAAAAATGATTCTTCAGGGCTGGGCTGGACTGGAGCTGAGCAATTGCCTGGCACACAGGAGGCCTGGGCTCAATCCCAGCACAGCAAACAAAAATCAAAACAAAACTTCTGAACTATATTCTGTGCTAACAGCGTTAATATTAAACTATCTAGTATTTTCTTATTTTTATTCGGTTTTTACTTTTATTAGTACATACTGTAGTACATAGTGATTACAGTCATTGTGGGAATTCTAAATCCTCTTGAGTAGTTCTTTTGGGAATTCAAGACAATTGTACAGGACATAAACAAACAACAATATTTTTCAAATTTCCATTACCTAAACAAATTACTGAAATATTTCTCTTTTCTCGTTGGTATCAGTTTGTAGAAGAAAACGACTTGTACGTGGAGCCGTACAGAATCACACAGAACTGGGGACAGAAGCGGCCTCTGTTTCTACCTGGAACACCCCCACAGGCTGGTACCTCACGAGGCCCTTCGTCTCCATTCGCTCACAAAGCCTAACCAGAAGGTGCCACAGCAGCAAGCCAGGTACAAGCAAAGGGAAGGCGGGTGTGAGGCCCAGCACAGGCTATGTGCGGAAACACAGCAGGGGACCTGCCACGGGAGGCAGCTCGGCAGGACCTAAAAGGTCACTGCACGAAAACTTCCAGGCCCTCCTAGCTCATACGAGGTCTTCCACGATGAAGTAGTAATTACAACTTGAAAAAAAGGCTACGTTTATGCATTTAATAGATGGTAACTTTTTCTACCACTTTCCGTTCTCTTAAAATTTTCATCCTATTATGAGCTTACTATTACTAGATGAACAGACATCCAATCCTAAAAAGTCAAATAAGGTACAGCTTTCAGTGAAAGGCGTCAGGTGACTTACATGAAACTCTAAAAGCATCTCCACTTTATGGTGATTCTGGTCACATTTTATATTAAATATTGCTATGTTATGATTTCTTAGTACTTAGTGATGAGTATTCATGTGACTTTATCTTGTGATAAACTATTAACTATCACTTCTAACCCTGTGCCACCAACCCACTTAGTCACGCAAACATTCTCCACAAATCATAATTTTAACATTTTCACGGTTCTCCACCTGAACTTGCTCTATGTAGCTATAAACATGGGTTGAACCAAGCCCCTTGATTCGATTTGAAACCTATGCAATTAGGACACTGATCTCATAAAGGAAACCTATGCAATTAGGACACTGATCTCATAAAGGCTTTCTACACTTTACTCGCCAGTTTGCCTAAGTAAGTATTGGATCCTGGTCTAAAGCTGAGTAACAGAAGAAATCTCTGACCACACCATCACCCTCAGGGGAATCTACTGGCCTTAAATCCTTCTGGACAGCAGCTTAGTATCAACCCAACTAAGAGGTCCACTAAGAAAAGGTCACACAGGGCTGCCGTGCACCTTCTCACAGGGAGGACAGCACTGCCTGGGTGGATGTAACCACACTCACACTGCAGGACAGACTCTGTTCAAGACAGATATCAGTGAGGGCGAGGGCTAGGTGCCTGCTCTCCTCTCAGAGACACAGCTTAGGCAGGAAACACCCTTGGCTTGCACTTCACCCCTAAGCCCTCCATCCCCAAAACGGTGAGACAGAAAATAGGCTTTCCTGCAACATGACACCATGGAAAGAGCCACTGCTTAATTATACAAACAAGTAAAACTACAGACAGACAGGAAATGCCACACACAGAATATGACCTCTCTGGGGGAGGCGGGGAAGTAACCAACCAGGGGAACCTCAGGGCCAACTACCTGGAGGATGAGCCAGAGGGATGGCAAGGGGCAGGGCAAGGTCAGCTGAGGCAATGTGATGAAACTGTGTCTCAGAAATACAAAGGGCTGGAGCTCTGACTCAGTGGTGGAGTGCTCGCCCAGCACACACGCCTGCTCAGTGTCTGGTAATAAACACACACACACATACCCCCCAATGAAACCAGTGGCCAGAGAAATAGAAACGTTCAGAAGTTACAGGTTAGACAAATAAATAAAAATAATGTGTATGTATATTTATACTGATTTTTTAAAAGCCAGACTTGGAACAATGGAAGAGATGGACTGCCAGTCTCAGGACAACAGTCTAAGAGGAAGCGACAGCATGGCATCAAGGAATAAAGACAGAACTTCCGGGAGGTGGTGCGGAAAACCAAGGCCGTTACAGTGCTACACAGCCCTCTCTGCTGCAGGCAGTGGGCTGGGAAGGCACCGCGACTATGGATAAAGCCTGGATAGCAGGCAAGGAGAGCCCTTCCCACCTCAGCCGGAGTGGGGGGATGTGTCCACTCAACTGCAAAGTTGCCACGAGCTCCCCACGCAGGCTGGCTTTTGAAAACGAGTCCCCAGAGCCCAGGCATGTTGGAGGGCTGACAATACCAGTCAAGTACAGTAAGATAACGACTCAGGCCTGAAACGGACAGAGAAAGTCCTGGGCAGGAGGCATCAGTTTTTCCAACTCCACCATCTATCGGGCATCCACACCAGAGGTCTAATGACAGGAGAATGTTCCCAAAGTCAGGTCAAATCACTCTGATGACTCATCACAATTAGGTTTCTTGGCTGGGAAAAGAAAATATCGATTTGAACTTCCTAAAGCGAAGTTCTTGAATATGCACTCAGTTGAATGTTTCTCGTTATTAATTTTAAAGACTGGATCTTTAAAAGACAAGGAATATGTAAACTACATACATTATCCAGGCAAACTTAAAATAATAAATTATTAACTATTTTAAAGTTCAATTCAATTCAAGCCCTCACAGGTATCTGCTGTAAAGTGCTTCCAGAGTTTAGATACGGTCTGTTTCCTCACAAAATTTACAAAGCTAATGGGAAAGAGAAACCTGTAAGCAGTGCTAATATAACACAGTAAGATAAACTACTAAGTTACAGATAAGGTACTAAGAAAAAATAAGACTATATGACTACAGAGATTTTGGCAGGCATCATGGAATAGATGGCAACTGACCAGATGTGACTGCACATACCTGTAATTCTAGCACTTTGGAAGACAGGAGGAGGACAGGTTCAAGTCCAGCCCGGGCAACTTAATAATATCCTGTCTCAAAACAATAAAAAAAGCACTAGCAATACAGCTTAGTACAAAGGCCTTGGGCTCATTCCCCTAAACCAAAATAATAATAATAATAATAATAAATTAAATTAAAAATAAAACAAAAATAAACATTCAGTGTGAGTACTGGTGATAGAAGGTTTTCAACAGCGATAAGGAACAGCAAGAAGAAAGTGTCAAGAAGGTTAAAAGCATCTTTAGGAATCAGACACCATATAGAACAAACCAGGATCTACTGGGCAGGGGAGCCTGAGAAACAGTCCTGCAACAGATAACAAAAGGCATTCAAAGTCACACGAATGCACTGCCTCAATTTCCTGGAGGAGATGGGGAGCCAGCAGGGTTCTGAGGCAGGGAGTGCAATGCTGCAGGCACAGGAGGACAGAGAGGCTCCCACACGCACAGGGATAGGAGGCAGAGGAAAGCTGGTAAGCCACTGTCACGATCCTGGGGAAAGATAACAAAGACCAGAACTAGGGTGGCAGAGACGGAATGGAGGCGGTACACACCATAAACACGGCAATGGTACAAGGATAGGACTTGGCAAGTGGTTACAGACAGGGAGGAAATGTACAGGGACAACATTCTGCACCATGATGTTACCAACACTGTTAGCAAGGCCTTCCGGGAGACAGACTAGGCTTTTTTGAAGCTACCTTCCCCGTCCCTATTTGGTTTCTGAGAACAGCTCCAATAAGTAGCAGTCCCCTCTTATAATGTCAAAAGACCATCATAGGACCAGTTGTTTCTATTTTTTATTGACATCATGTTATACTGGCAAATAGTGATGCTCATGCTAGAGATGCTCCTGCAAATAAGACAGCAAAGAATGTATGTCTGGCCTAAATGTGAAGTTCAGTGTTAAAAGTTCCAAGAAGTCGGGGCTGGGGATTTAGCTCAGTGGCATAAGCACCTGCCTTGCAAGCAGGCAGTCATGAGTTCGATACCGATTAAAAAAAAAAAAAAAAAAGAAAGAAAGAAAGAAAAGAAATCAGTTTAAAAAGTTCCAAGAAGTCATTATGCTGCATTTTACCATTAAATCTCAACATTAACTGATGAAGGATAACTTAAGGCCAGGATGACTGAATAAATTCATGATTTCCTTATTCTGCCTGCAAGAATTAAAAGCTAAGAAAACAAAGCAGCAGCACAAGTAAAAAAGAAAAAAGCAACAAAAGCAAACCTACTAATACATACTCAAGAATATTTAATTTCTGGCTGGTCCAATGGCAGTGGGTTATCAGAACTTAACATTAGTGTCACTAAATAGTATACCACCACCACCCCCACTGCTAAATTTGAGGCTTTAAAAAAAACAAAGAATATTTAATTTCCACAGAAGTCAGTTTATTCAATCTGATTAATGTGGAACAAACTAATGTAACACATAACCCAGTAAAATACATTATGCTTTAAAAGGGCTCGTTAAGTTAACAAAACAAAACAAAAACCTCAAATGTTCTACAAACAAAAGCTAAAATTTAAGATGTATAAACCAACAAAGATGAAGCCCAGTGATGACAAACAGCAAAGACCCAACCAACACTGAACCTATGTATTCACTGAACAGGTAGACCACGGAAGGCGACATGTATCCTTTGACTGCTCATCCTTCCAGGGACAGGTAGAGAGGAGTTGAACTACAGCGATGATTAGAAAACTCTGACTTAAAAAGTAAAAGCAAGCTGGCTTTGGTTCCAGGCCAGCCTGAACTGCAGAGAAATACCCTGCCTCAAAAAACAAAGATGGTCTTACTGTCTTCCCCTGGGCTTCTCCCTGGCCACTGCCAACGTCTCTGGCAAGCAGGGCAGGAGGTGGAGCCTGCTTAGCCATCGCCCTCCATGCCCACCAGGCCTGCTCT